TTTGACTATATTATACCAATATTTTCTGACTGCTGTCTTTTTGATACCTCTTCCTTTATAGGTGATATTTTTCTTTCCCTTTAGATTGCCTCCTAATTCTTTATGTTCTGTGGTTTTATCATGATGTGTCTAAATTTAAACTTATCTTTATTTTACTCAGTAGAATGCATGGTCAATCTGAAAAGTCAAGTCTTTCCTCAAATTTGAAAATGTTCACATATTATCTTTTCAAATATTAATTTTCCACCATGTTTTTCTGCTGAGACTTTTATTAGATAAATGTTGGATCCTCTCTGTTTTTCATGTCTCTTAAAAAGTCTTTCTGATTTTATTCTTTTGTCTTTTTTGCTGCATTTTGAAAGACTGTCTCAATTCCAGTTTTCTGATTCCTGCTTTACTGTGCCTAGCTAGACTTTATCCCTATCTGTTAATTTTTTAATTTTAAGACTATATTTCTCATTTTCAGAGTTTCTATTATTTTTCAAATCTATATCTTCTTGTTTCATATTTTCTTTTCTTAAAATAGCATTCATTTAACTTTTTAAGCATTCTGAATATCTTTAAAGAATCTTTGTAAGACCATGCCATAAAATTACTGTCATCTGGAAAGCATTCCTATTCAACTCATTGCCCCCTTTGTTGCTTTCTTAGCAAGCAAGTATTAGCCTTTTAAACTGAGTTTATAGGCTCACTATGAGTCAGAAGTTTCTTTTAATTCTCCCCATCCCTTACCTTTTCTTGTCTAGAGTATTATGGAAATTTTACTTGGACTTTGGGGCCCCCAGTCTATAGCTAGAGGGTAATGGTGGCTCCTGACCCATGGAACTCCTCTTCTTATGGTGGCACCCTGCTAGCAAGGTTCCAAGAGAAAGAAAATGAAAACACACAAAGCTTTTCAGGTCTAGGCTTGAAATTGACACACTGTCACTTCCGCCCTATTGTAGTGAGTGGAGAAAGTCACAGGCTAGCCCAGGTTCAGAGGGTGGGGAAATAGACATTCCTCTTCATGGGAACAGTTACAGTCACATAGCAAAGGGCATCAGTACAAGGAAAGATGGAGAATTGAGCCATTTTTTTAGATCACTGTACCACACTTTGATGGTTTATACTAATTTAGCAGATATAAGTAGATTTTGCTGGAATTGAAGATCTTTATTTGTATTACTATGAGGTCACTTTACATCTAACTTTTGGAGTCATATCAAAAAAGTATTGGTAAAAATAAAAAATTCTGATTATATTAGAAATTGAAGAATTAATTATTAGATATATGTATTTTAAATTTATTTTTATTTCCCTTGTTTCTTTCACTGGCAAGTATGTAGAGCAAGAGTTTATTATATTTCAAAATAAACTTTTATCAAAGTATAAACTACGTATAGGACAATGCACAAATTAGAGAGATATAGTTATAGGAGTATATAGCTCAGCATGTTTTCACAAAGTAAACCCATCTGTGTAGTTATCACCTGGGTCAAGAAATAGAACATTACCTACACTCCAGAATTCCCCCTTTTCTCCTTTCCGAGTCTTTACTTTTTCCATGTTTCCCAGAAGCAATCAGTACCCTGATTCTTACAACCACAGATCAGATTTATCTTTTTATAAACTTTCAAATCATTTTGTGTCTGACTTCTTTCACTCAACAGTATATGGCCAATATGATTTTAATAGTCAGAATTCTGGTTAGGGAAGTGATAATACCCATTTGATGTTTTCATTTAAAATCTTGTCAATCAATTTTCCCTCTTCCATCATGTTTCTCTCTGACTTCTCTGTTTATGCAGCATTGCTCTGCAATTATAGCTCTGTCCCTAAAGTTCCCTTCAGTTCTGTTATCATAAGAGCATTGTTGCATTTATTTCTTTCTAGAAGGAAATAGGAAATATATAGGAGAGTAATATGCATGTAAAGATAAAAGTTAGAATCCTTTTTTCTTGTTATATATTTGGGAAATAATAGTGGAAAATCAATAGCTGTGAACTAAGACTGGAGTCAACCAGACTTGATATTTTAGTTCTTCAAAACGCTTAAAAAAATGTGTGATATCCTTTTCTGTTTAGCTTACCAGAGATTCAGCACAATGTCCTGCTGTATTTAGTGATTTAATCCCAGAAACTTTAGGGTACTCATATGATGCCAAATCACATTTTACAGTGGTCCATGGCTCAGAGGGAACTGGAAGATATTTTGCTGATTTGAAGGTACTGTTTCACTGTGCTAGGCATACTCTTAGAACCACTGCTACGTTTCTAGTTTAAATCCACACAATATTTTCAGTGAGAATTTAAACAGTTTTTGATCTGGATCTGAGCATCATATTTCAGCATTTGCTGAAAATATTTGGGACCCATTCCTTTGCATTTTAGAATCATTTTTCTGATGTGTCCTCTTATTACGCTGGTATCACTGGGATGGCATTCCAAAAGGAAAGGTCTGTTTATTTTATTCACTTTTCCTCAGGAAAGACGGTGGTGAAATGAATCATTAGCTCATTGTATTTTTCGGTAGCTCTTTGACCTTAATCGCTGGGTCTGTGAAATCAATGGGAAGATGCCTGCTGTATCATGAGCACTGAGGAAAGCCCATGATGGATTTGTGTTACTTTTGTACTGTGAATGTTTCAAAGAGAAGTGAATGTAGTGTCTATAGACTGTAGTCAGGAATCCAAGGCCAGCAGAGTAACTGTGTGTTACTAGCAGCATCTTCCATGTGTAACGCACATGAATCAAGAAATAAATGCAAGCTGTTCTCTAGGTTTTGATAATTCCTTTATCATGTTCCCCCAAAGACAGAAGAATTGGAAGGATGGGAGTCACTCCCCGGGTGGTTTGACTCCTTTCAGTGAGTCTAGTGATTCATTCCATCCTACGGCACGTGATCGTTATTAATCATGGGTGGTTACAGAGTGGGAGGGGAGGCTGTGGCAGCAGTAAGCCCCAGATCGAAGGGAACAGAACCGTGAAGAGACCTGTCCAATAGTTTTTGGGGCCAGCCCTAGAAAGAAACATTCACAAAATGTGCTGCACAGACCACCAGTTCAGAGGAGTGTTAACAGATTTGTGTGAAAAAGCATCCCACAGCCAAATGTGTAGAAAACACCAAATTAAACACAAAAGCAAGAGAGATCTTGCCAGACGATTTCCCAGGTTTTTAAATGTGCTCATGTATATAGAATATGCAGTGTTTCCCAAATACATTTGGCCACAAAACTTTACCTGTTTTAGCAGAAGTCTCACAACGCCTGTGTTTTGTATAAAATACCTTGGGTAAAATTGCTCTAGAACATTGGTCTTCAAACATTTCTTTTTGTTCATTGATCTCCTGTAGTAATTTTGAAAAACTTATATGTTCACACATTTTTAAGCCGGCGTCTACATTGTTTAATAAAAAATCAAATGGATACAATAGATTATTTCTGACATATTTATCTTATACATGTGCTTTAATCATATTTTTATCCAATCTCTGGAGCTGCAGAGTTGCCTCAGCCACTTCATAAACAATGTTTGCATCTAACCTAATTGGCTAAGCCAGATGTCCTTACGAAATGAATCAGGCTTACCACTTTTCCTGTGACTCTCCCCCAGGAGGAAGATATTTGTGAATTGTTCATTTGTTTGGTGCCTTTGAGAATTTTATATTACAGGACAACATACCTAGAAAACCTAGAAAGATCCTGGGTGGGCAAGAGGCATGCCTTGCCTTGGTAAAGCACAAGAAGGCACTGAGGAAGAGGGACGATAGGAAAAGAACGTTGGCAAATGTATTCTTAGGCAGATCCCTTCAAAAGGAAACGTTTGAAGACTGAAGATCTAGGAATTGGTTCCCTTAAAAGTATCCAACCCTGTGCGACCCTATGAAATATCTTTATGTACCTTCACGGGTATGTGTACCTAGTGTAAAGCTGCTTCTTTGGGAGTGTAAGAAATATATACGTCCTCTTTGAGAATGAGCTCCTTCTCTACCTAAAGTAAGTGATCCTTGTTAAATAGCCAAATAGTCTTGTCTGGCTGGGAGAAGTTTTTATCTTGAGATATTTTTTCTGTTTTCCAGTAGAAGTCATCCTGCTAATGGATTTCTATAATGGAATTTCTGTTGATCAGCAAAAGCTGAACATACGCAGCTGAACCTTCAGAAAGCTGTGTATTTTTGCACGGTCTGAAGATCTTCATGTACTGTTCTCACCTTGTACCTAATTCCTGTTGGTCACTGGACATGCCTCATTTCCTGTGTAAATTGCGTCACTAAAAAGGCAGTGAATTATTACTCACTTTGTTAAGCATACATACTTTTTTGTAAGAGAATAAACGCATAAAAGTATATTTATTTTCCATAAGGGCACTTCTGTTATTCATAATATATTATGCATTAAATGTCATACTTTATTTATTCTTTGGCATTTTCAACCCTGGCAGCTAGCAGATGGTTTGAAATCAGAGAATGTTTCAACCACAAGTAGCATTGGCGATTATCTAGTTCAGCCCCTTTGTGTTATAGGAGAGGAAACTGAGATCAAGAGAAATTAAGTGACTTTCTCTAGGAAACATAATTTAGTATCCTAGATAGAACAAAGCTAAATCTTAGTGGAATATATCTCCCATTAATTTCCCCCATGCCCCTAATCTTTTTAAAAAATATTATCTTAGAAAAAATTGTCTTTATAAAATGATACTAATTCTTTTTGTTTATTTACTTCTTTATTTTTTATTTAAAAATACTCAGGGGTTACAAAATATTTCTATAACATGGCTTGAGTCAGGGCTATAAATGTGCCCATTGTATGTGAATAGTGTTCATTGTACTGGTTAGTTGGGTTTTTGCTCCTCTCTTCCTCCTCCCCTCCCATCCTCCCTGCTTGATTTCCAATGACCTCTACTTTCTCTGTGCATTTGTGAGCCCATCAGTTAGCTCTAATTTATTAGTACATGTGGTGTTTGTTTTTCCATTCTTGAGATACTTCGTTTAAGATAATGGTCTCCAGTTCCTTCCAAATTGCTGCAAAAGGCATTAATTCATCATTTTTTATGACTGAGTACTACTCCATGGTACACATGTACCACATTTTGGTAATTCCTGCATTGCTCACCATCCAGAATTGTTATGAAGTTCCAGTGAGATAAGGTGTGCTATACAAATACAAAGGAAGAAGAGGAGGCAGAGGAGGAGGAAGATAGTCACCTCATTGTATTGAATTACTGTATTATTCCCAGCACTAAAATACTTAGTCTGTGTTGTATTAGGTTGTTTAAAGAGCATCTCCTGTTACGCTTATATACCTGACTACTCTGCATTTTCATACTGCTTGGTTAATAGGAGCCCAGCCTTCTTATTTCTATTGTTAGGTTGAACCCTATGACATTGCCAGTATGCAACCATTTTAGACTTCTAAGAAGAACAGTCTTGTGCTCTTGCACTTAATTTATGACTTGAGGTACATTTTAGGCTATACAGAGAAAGACACATGTAAATGTTTTCAGTAACTGGAGAAGTATCTCAAACTCCTTCATGCTAGCTATAGCTCTGTGGATTTTGCCTATTCTAGAGGAGTACATGGATTTATGTGAGCTTTGTGTTTCTTCTTCTTTGTTTCTGTGTTTCTGCTTCTGTGAACTTCTAGACTACCTGAACACAGCAGCTCAGATGGGCAAAAGCCGATAGGTGACTAGTCTAGGTAGGTGCCAACTCCTTTAGCCATTTATTTCAGCCTTCATTCTTCAGCTCAGTAAGTTGTGCTCTATGCAGTGGTTATACCATTTCTTTGAAGGATAGAATTCCATAATTCTCTAAAGTAATTTGGTGGTCTACAGAGGGAGAAAAATGAATAAATTCATTTGTTTATCCATTTTTTAAAAAAAAACTAAGTACTAAAATACTTTTGATTTAATCAGAATACATTAAGGAAAATTGTGTAAAATATGAGATTTCTGAAATGCTATTGTCACATATAAGCTATTTATAAAAATTATAAATATTATAATCAAGTTATAAGCTTTTATTTGATTACAAAAAAGAAAATAACTCTAGGAATTAAAGTCTGAATAGAGTTATAATTTATAATTTGCCAATCACATTCTGTACAATTGTCTGACCTGATACTGTCTTCTCTTAGAGTGCTTCCAGTAAGTGAGTTGTTGAATTTGAAATATGATTTGTCACAGAAATTATATAGATCAGGGACTTTCACATTTTCTTAACAAATGCCATGTTATCATAGTACTTCAGAGTTTGAAGCAAATGGGAGAAAACTGCCTTGCTTAATGCAGCTGTTTGGGGTGCCCAGGGCTCTAGGAACAGGTCTGCAGATAGTGGTTATGTCTGATGAATCACTTCCGGGTTCTTGTCAGGCAGGACTCTGACCTTGAGATAATAAACCACACAGTCCTGAACTCAGCAACTTGGGGGACCCAATCTCTGTTTTGATTCTGGCTGAACCTCTCATTTATCCTAAGGCCAACGCATAGTCTCAGAGACAGTGGGGAAATGTTCAAATGTAGAAGATATAGACATTGAGTCAAGTCAGTGACCCCTCTCAAGTCTTCTAATGCAGCTAGCCCCCACCTCTACCCCATCTTGTTCCTCAGACAACCTCACTTCAAAATGATCCCTTTTGCACTTACAAACTCACATTTTCATCACCTCTGTGTAAGTTTCTCACTAAGGACTTTATGGACATTTATGGCAGAACCCACACTTTCAGAATGTTTAGCATCCCTGTGTCTGCCCACTGTATGTTTCCCAGTCCTCGTGACAACCCCAAATGTCTCCTCGGTAAGCATACCACACCGTCCTTTGACATTCACCCCGATCCTCCCTGAGTGCTAAGAGGGAAGCAATCTCATTAAGCTATAACATTCCTGTAGGTATTTATATTTTAGAAGAGGAAGTTTTTATATCCAAATGACTAATAAATATGTGAAAAAGTATTCAATATCATTACTCATCTGGGAAGTGCAAATGAAAACCACCATGAGATAACATTACACTCAGCCAGAATGACTTAATTTAGTAAAGAGACTGACTAAAGATTTTAAAAGTTGGCAAGGATGTGGAACTGATACTGGGAATGGAAATTGGGATAACTACTTTGTACAACTATTTGACAATTTATTAAAGTAAATTGTGACCCTCTCTAGTGAATCAGAAATTCTACCCCTTAGATACATACCCAAGAGTAATGAGTACAGAGACCTATCAAAAAGATGTATATATAAGAATGTTCATAGAGCATTGTTAATGACAGCCAAAAAATTGGAAATAACCCAAATGTCCATCAATAGTAGAATGGATAAATTAATCCAGTATCCTCATACAATGCAGTCAGTATAACACAGTGGTAAAAGAGAATGAAGTGCTACATACAGCAACATTGATGAATCCCAAAGACATAATAATGAATAAAAGAAATTGGACAAAAGAATATGTAATATGATTCTCTTTGTGTAAAGTTTAACAACAGGCAAAACTAATCGATACTAGGAGTCAGAATGGTAGTTAGCTGTGGGGGCAGAGATGCTGACTGGGAAGGGAATGAGGTGATCTAGGTGGCAGTTGCACAGTATGTGTACACATGTATACACACATGTGTATGTAAAAACTCATCTAGCTATATACTTGAGATTGATATACTTTGGTGTGTGGAAATGAGATGAAACTTGGAAATTTATTCTCTAATTTGTGGTATTTCTGAAAATATAAAAATAAATCAAGGAAGTCGAAGGAAACAGAAGTTTTTCTGGAAGCGATATGGATTTTTGTGTTCCTTCCTATCTACACTTACAAGTTTGCTTGGTCCTTTTGGTTTGTTTGTTTTCGTCCGTCTGAATTCCCGTGCCCCATTCCAACAGCGTCATGGTCAGAGGCAGTGGGCAGTGTTGAGAGGAGACAAAAAAGGGGTCTTCGAGGAGGGCACAAGGCAGTGGTTGTAAATCAGGTATTTATGAGATGGAGGAAAAGCTTCCACCTTAACTCGGCAGCCAGCACTGAGGCTGAGATGGTGCTGTCATAGAAACCTCCTAACAAGGCAAAATTCTGGGTCTCAAATGTGGTCATGGAATGTGTGCTAGGGAAACCAATGCAACCAGGGGTGCAGGTCATTTGGGGGAAGAGGAAGGCTAATAATCATACTCTAGTAGGGACGTGAGGGGAAACAGAAGAGTAGAGATTTTGTCCAGCCTTTTTGACCACAACTGGCTGGTTACCCAAACTTGTGGTTTTCCTTGGGACATATGATAGGGGCTTCACTTGCACCATGTAAGCTCCAACTGGACTTGGCACTTTTCCTGGCCTTTCATGGTGGTTTTCTTAAAAAGAATGAGTTATGGGGGAATATTTCCAATTACATGCTGTGCGTAAATGTGCATTACAGCACAACACACACTCCGATAAAGAATAAGACAGGTGCTGGACCATGTGCTGTGCCACTTGTCATGTAGCCGTACCAGTTTCCAGCCACATCCAAGTTGGGACACTGTAGAATTTATACAACAAATATGTATTACCTTATTATTTGGATGTCATTGAAGATATCATATTTTATCACTGAAATTAACTTAAAAACTGCATGTTTTGGATAAAATATGTACATTGAGATAGCTATGCCTACTTAGACTATGAGATATTCATGTTTCGATAAAGTTAATATTTGCTTAAATAATGATTTATTGAGGACTGTATTTGCTTTTTTATGTGGTGATTCTGCTGGTAATATATTGCTATCGTGTCCAACTTTAAATTTAGAAAATTAATATTTTATGACTTTTAATAAAAAGTTTATAGAAGAATCCATGATTGAAGGAAGTAAATATTAATATTTGAAATGGAAGTACTAACAGCCAAAGTCTGCTAACTATTAAGCTTCATAGGCCACATTGAGTAAATTATAAATGACTATTCATTTTCATTTTTAACTTACTGCCATCTTTTTAAATTTTTAATTAATTACCTTTGCAAGTACTTGTATAATCTTTCTTTTTAGAGATACCACATTTTTATTTCGCCTTTTTCAAATCACTTTGATTTCCTGTGGATCTCCTATATGCGGATGATCTTAAGTGTCCGTTTCTAGTCATTGTATCCTCTTTCGTTCTGTTCCTGAATCTTCTGCTGCTGCTGCTGCTGCTGCTGGCTGTTTCCATGTGGGTAGTATCCCAGTGTGACTTTGAGCTCTAACACTGAACTCTCCGTCTTCCCTCCCTCTTTCCTCCTCAGATCTCCTTCTGCAAACCGCCTGTGGTTTTTCTTCTTCTCCCTGATTTGAAGCCTCCCAGACATCTCTACTCCTTTCTCTCACTTTCTAGTGTTGTGTTGCCCAGTCAAACACCATGCATTGTCAACTGTTCTAAAAAAACAACAAAAAAAGAATTATTTCCTGTCTTCCTGATTATTCTCACTGTCACCAGCTTCATGCTCACATGCCTCCTTCAAGTGATCAGACTTTTGACCTCTTCTCACCAAGCTGTGTGCTGGGAAGGTGAATTTTCCTAGAGCCAGCCTTTGATGACATCTTCCTCCTGCTCAGAAACTTTTAATATAGCTGCCTGTTCTTAGTAAAATCGAGTCCAAACCTAGCTTGGCTTTTGCCAGCTCTGTTCCCAACTATTTACCTTCCTGAAACTTCTTTTCCAGTCAATGGTTTGACTCACCATGTCTGAACCTCCCCTCCCCACGCCAGCCTGTGCTCATGCTCCAGCGTCCCCCACACAGACCATTCCTTCCCTTCCTCGCCCGTCCATCCAGCTCCTCCCCAGCCTCCAACACCCTGATGCAGTCCTGCCTCCTCCTCAATGCTGTGGGCTTTCCTGCCTCTGACTTCCTTTAGTGGCTCTTACTGTTAATGGAGACAGTTTTATAATTTCATTTTTTCCAGTTTTTTCCATTTCTTCTAATGGTGATAACTTGAACTGCTTTTCACTTCTTCAGTTTTTCGCATGTTTGTGTGTACAGCTAGATTGTCATCGTCTCCAAAATGGGAGTCTTTGCCTTACCTATATGCTTGCTCTGTCGTGCCTGATACACCTACCACTAAAATGTAAGCTCTGTGAAGGCTGGAGTTTTTTGTGAGTTTTGTTCACTAGTAAATCTGTAGCACTGAAAACAGAACCTAGCATGTAGTAGGTGTGTAATAAATATTTGTTATATAAGGTCCAAATATTCAATACATGTTAATTTGATTCAAAGTCATTCATACCTGCTGCATTCCTTTTTTTTACTATAACTAAGAGATTATTCTAGTAAAAAAGAAAGTGAATGCAATTTGTAGCCAGAATCTGCTCCACAAGGCTTGACTGCTACTTCTAAAGAGTTTTGTTTTCCTTCAGATATTAATGAATGCCAACTACAAGGTGTGTGCCCTAATGGTGAGTGTTTGAATACCATGGGCAGCTATAGATGTACCTGCAAAATGGGATTTGGGCCGGATCCTACCTTTTCAAGTTGTGTTCGTAAGTAATGATCACTTTTTATTCCTATTTTTTATTTTTGGATTGGTTGTCTTTGGGGTTTATCCAGAGAAGGGAAGTACTCAGTGGTCAACAGAATGTAACTATACAGTAAAACCTTATTAATTACAATGACAAGAAGAACGGGGCCTGCTTAACATAGTAAAATATGTCTGAACCTTCTCCAAAATGCATGTTTATTGTGTTCAGAGAGCTATAATAGCTAAAACTTAGAGTAGAGAGTAAGTACACTTAGGAAATATACTTTGATAAAAAGAAAAGGATTAATTAAAATCAGCATATCAACCTTTTGTGGAACCTGAAAGATGAAAACAGGTTTTTCTCCTTATACAGACATTATTTTAAGCATTCTTTAGGCTGAATTAAACTCTGTCCCAGCTTCTGCCTTTAATTATTCCAAATTGTGAGTCACTGGAATCTGATTTAATGAAGTTTCACTCAGTTGGAAGAGTCTGGAAAATAGTTACCAAGGCCCTGTGTTTCGTATTTTCTAATTCAGTTCTAATTTTGAATATTCTATTCTCTTATCCTTCAAACTCACCAAAATGCCCCCTGAATTTATACTGTTTTGCCTTACAAATGTCTCTGAGATTTTCTCATATACATGATAAGGGTAAAAATCCTCCACCAAACCATGTGTTCCAATATTGGTTCTGAAAATACCAAAGAGAAACTCCCTGTCCACAAAAACTAATCCAGTATAATCACTACAAATCATATGCTGTTAGAGAGAAATGCATTTTAGGTGTAAATTTCTCAAATGCAGGATTTTTAAAGATTACCTTATTGTGCTTATTATTGTGCTTATTATTATAAAAGTGGGTAAGCACTGCAGATTTTTAAAAGATATTAAACTTAGCAAAGTTTAATGCATGGCAGAAAACTGTTAGAATAATTTTAAGAACAATTCTCGATTAATTTTTGTCCTGCAGGGTTTATGTTTTTATTTATTTTTTAATGTGGCTTTGGTCTATGCTAAGCTGCATCCTTCTTGTCCCTAGTTTTCAGTTTGCCTGTTATTTGGTCAGGATACATTCATGAGGATACTATCCTTTATTTTTAGCCAAGCTTATCTCTTTAACCCTGTGCCCTAAGGTGAGATGCACAGAGATGATGAAACAAAGGCAAATGTAGTAAAATACAAATGACAACCTCATTTATTACTTTCAGATGAGTTTGTTGAAATATTGTTACTAATTACTATTTTCCTTTAAAAACTGTCAACTGCAGATTAGGAAATTCTCCATGTAAGTCCTTTTTCCCATGTTCTTTTACAGACAGTTCTGATCACGAAGCAGACAGACACCTAATTATAGGGCTTTTTCAGGGGGTGGTCAAATTAGACTGTAAAAGTATGTTTGCATTCAAGGTACTTTTGAAAACTGATGCAAGGATTTGGAAATTTTAGGCCAAAAAGCACATTGTTGACAAAATACAGCTAATTTAGGGATAATTTTTGGCTTATTTGAATTACATGAATAAATATTTTAAATAGTTTCATAATTTAAATGTAAATGATTATCAAGAGTTTGGATATAGAGCTTATTATGAATGGTTTTCTTGCTCTTTGACTTGTAGTCTGGTTAAAATTCTTACACTGAAGGTTGCAGATTAGGTAAACTCTGAGAGCTGGTCGCAAAGTGTTTTATGAAACTTTGACTAGATCTGATATCTAGAGTTGAAGGCAGACATCCAGGTTTTAATAAGATTGTAGAAACCTGCCAATGAGATTTTTGAAACATTTGCACATTTCCTTAGCATTTATTTTCCCTGTCATTGCCCAAATAATTCTGAACTTATTAAACAACCATCCATTCTTATTTGAAAAATAAATAATTCAATTTTACGGTTCAGTTACAACAGCTGAAATGATAAGTATTAAGAGACATTTGTTGCTAGTTAAACGTTCCAGTTGAGAGTTTGAAGTTAAAACCTGGGCTCTTTACCAGTGTTGAGTGAGCAGATTTATTTCTCTTTCCTCTGGATTTACCACATGTAACATCACAGAGATAATATAGAGTTCCTTCAGGATTTGTCATTTGGACCAATCCCGTCTGATTTGTGGGTGAGCTCTGTGAAGAAGTTGATGGGAGAAGTCTGAAAACACTTGGGAAGAATCAGGGGAGAAGGTGATGTTCACAGAGTAGGGGGGAAAAATTGGAAAGATGGTGGAATTCTTGATAAATATGGGAAAGTAGCAGATGGAGACAGACACACACACACACACAGAGTCACTGAACAGAATTGTGGCTTAACGTTTGAAATGTGTGTTCTGAGAGGTATGAAACCAGCCAGAGATGCAGTATGCAAGCAAATGGAGTATACTGACAACACTGGCTCAGGCAGCATGAATTTAGGGCATATCCAGGATACAAAAGGTGTGGCTGACTCTGTGAACTCCAAGAAATGCACTTGGCAATGACGGAGGCGCAACGGGAAGCTCTCTCTGTTCTTGAATACGCTGGAGTGAACACCCTAGAATTCCTGGACTCCAGCCAGAGGTTGCAACCATTTCATTTTCTCTCCTTGCCCACTCTCTGTCCTTGACTTAGCCAACCCATAAGGGAGAAAGTAGGCGAATCCTGGCATCTGCTGCCTTTGACCTCGGCGTCTGTGGCTCAGGATGCTGTAGCAGAATTCTCCAGACCTGCTACTACCTATACCATGGGGCAAGGTGAAAATTTTAGGACTTGCTGGAGCAAATTCAAGAAAAGCATGATAAGCTTTGCAGTTAGAGTAGGAAGACTTTCTAGCTTTCTGAGCTGCGATTAATTTGCTTCAGAAGTTAAGAGCTCTGGAATGAGTGCTACTGAGGGTGTGTCCAGGGGTTCAGTACAAAGGCCCAGAGAAAAGAATTCTGACCCTGGGATTTTGCCTTTTCATAGTATTCTTTACCCGTGGACTTGGAGTGACTTGACAGAAATAGAGGGTTAGAGAGAAGATGTGCTCAGGAGTTTATCCTGCATGGGTAAATTACCGCTAGCTCTTTTAGCTTTCTTAGAATGGGCTTTCCTTTCTTACTTGGTGTTTTTTGCTCGTAATAACATTGTTTTCCCAGGCACTGAGTCTGGGAGCCTGTGTCAGCTTGGACTCTTTCATCTCTTTTGGTTTCCAAGGCAGTCATTAAATTGTCATAATTTATCTTCTGCTTGTTCCTTTCTTTCTACCTCTTTTGTGGCCATCTCAGCTTAGACCCCCTTGCTTCCCTCACTTGGAGGTGTCATGGCACCATGCCCTGGAGGTTGGACAAATCTGTGTTAAGTGCTTGCTCACGTATAATAACAGCAACAGCAAAACCTATGATAATAATAATCTTTATTATATACTTAATAAGTGTCAGGCACTGTGATAAGTGCATTACATGGCTTATCATATGTAATACTTACAAGATTTCTATTGGATTTGTACTATTATTCTTCCTACTTTAGAGATGAAGGAATTGAGACAGAGAGGTTAAGGATCTTTCTAAAAGTCACACAGCCTGTAAGTAGTAGAACTCAGATTTGAAATTACATCTGTCTTACTCCATAGGCTAAACCTTTAATCAGAAAAAGGAAAATGTTCTGAAATGACAAGATAAGTCAACTATTTAAGGAGGGCTGTTATTTAATGTCACTTGCTACACAATAGAATAGATGGCCTAACTCTGCAATGGTCTTGAATTGTAATAGAGAATGTCAGAAACAAAAAAGGAGACATTACAACTGATACCACAGAACTATAAAAAATCATCAGAGACTATTATTAAAAACTATACACTGACAAACTAGAAAACCTAAAGGAAATGGGTAAATTCCTGGACACATTATAATCTACCAAGATTGAATCAAGAAGAAATAGAGAACCTGAAAAGGCTGATAACAAGTAATGAGATTGAATCAGTAATAAAGTCTCTCAACAAAGAAAAGTCCAGGACGAGATGGCTTCACTGCTGAATTCCACCAAACTTACAAAGAAGAGCTAACACCAGTTCTCTTCAAACTATTCCAAAAAATTAAAGAGGAAGGAATTCTTCCCAATTCATTTTATGAGGCTAACATTACCCTTATGCCAAAACCAGAAGAGGACACAACAAAAAAAGAAAACTACATACTAATATCCCCGATGAACACAGATGCAAAAAAAATCTTCAACAAAATATTAGCAAGCCAAATCCAACAACGCATCAAAAAGATAATACACCATGATCAAGTGGGTACAAGAATGGTTCATCATATGCACATCAATAAACATGATACATCACATTAATAGAATGAAGGGGAAAAAACCATATGATCCTCTCAATAGATACAGAAAAGTATTTGATAAAATGTAATGTCCTTTCATGACAGAAACTCTCAATGAACTAGACATAGAAAGAATATACTTCAACAAAATAAAGGCCACATATGACAAACCCACAGCTAATATTTTACTGATGGGGAAAATCTGAAAGTCTTTTTTCTAAGATCTGGAACAAGACAAGGTCGCCCGCTTTCAGTGCTCCTATTCCACATAGTACTGGAAGTCCTAGCCAGAGCAATCAAGGAAGAGAAAAAATAAAAGGTATCCAAACTGGAAAAGAGAAAGTCTAATTTTCTCTCTTTGCAGAAGACATGATCTTATTTCTAGAAAAACCTAAGATTTCACCGAAAAACTCTTAGATCTAATAAAAACATTCAATAAAGTTATAAAATATAAAATCAACATATAAAAATCAGTAGCATTTCTATACACCAATAATGAAATAGCTAAAAAAAAAATCAAGAAGGCAATCTCATTTACAACAGCTATAAAAAAAACCAAAAATACCTAAGAGTAAATTTAACCAAGGAGGTAAAAGACCTCTACAAAAAAATCCTTATGAAAGAAATTGAAGAGGACACAAACTATTAGAAAGACATCCCATGCTCAAAGATTGGCAAAATTAATATCATTAAAAGGACCATACTACCCAAAACAATCTACAAATTCAGTGCAGTCCCTCTCAAAATACCATTTTTCACAGAAACAGAAAAAACAGTACTAAAATTTCATATGGAACCAAAAAAGAATGTAAATAGCCAAAGCAATCCTGAGCAAAAATAACAAAGCTGGAGGCATCACACCACCTGACTTCAAAATATATTACAAGACTATATAAATAAAATATATGGTATTGGTATGAAAACAGACACATAGATCAGTGGAACAGAATAGAAAACCCAGAAATACATTTACATATTTCCAGCCAACTGATTTTTGACAAGGACACCAAGACTATATGTTGAGGAAAGGAAATACTCATCAACAAATGATGCTAGGAAAATTGCATTTCTATATGTAGAAGAATGAAATTGGACCCCTATCTTTCACCATATACGTAAATAAACTCAAGATGTATTAAAGACTTAAACTTAAAACCCAAAACTATTAAAGGAAAATGTAAGAGAGGCACTTCAGGATGTTGGTCTAGGCAAAGATTTTATGACTAAGACCACAAAAGCATAGGCAACAAAAATAGACAAATGGGACTATATTAAACTAAAAAGCTTCTGCACTGTGAAGAAAACAATCAACAGAGTGAAGAGACATCCTGTTGAATGGGAAAAAATATTTGCAAACTTTTTATCTGACAAGGGGCTAATATCTAGAATATACAAAGAACTCAACAGTAAAAAAAAAATCTCATTAAAATGTGGACAAGATCATGAATAGACATTTCTCAAAAGAAGGCATACAAATTACCAACAGGTATACCAAAATATGCCCAACATCATTAATCATCAGGTAAATGCAAATTAAAACCACAGTGAGGTATAATTTTACCATAGTTAGAATGGCTATTATTACAAAGACAAGAACTAACAGAGACTAGGGAGGATGAAAAGAAAAGGGAACTCTTATTCATTGTTGGAGGAAATGTAAGTTAGTATAGCCATTATGGAAAACACTATGGAGATTACTCAAAAAACTAAAAATAGAACTGCCATACAATCCAGCAATCCCACTATTGGATATTTATCCAAAGGGAAAGAAATTAGATATCAAAGAGATACCTACACTCCCATGTTTATTGCAGCACTATTCACAATAGCCACAATACAGAATCAACCTAAATGTCATCAACAGATGAATAAAGAAAATGTGGCATATATTATACCCAATGCAATACTATTCAGCTATAAAAAAATGAAATCATGTCATTTGTAGCAACACAGATAGAGCTGGAGGTCATTATGTTCAGTGAAATAAGCCAGACACCAATAGGCAAGCATTGCATGTTCTCATTCATATGTGGGAGCTAAAAAATGTTGATCTCATGGAAGGAGAAAGTAGAATGATAGTTACCAGAAGCTGGGAAGCATGTGCGGATGGGGGTTGGGAGATGAAGAGGTTTGTTAATGGGTACAAACACACAGATAGAAGGAGTAAGTTTTGTTGTTAGATAGCACAGTAGGGTGACTATAGTTAACAACAGTGTATTGTATATTTCAGAATTGCTGGAAGAAAGGTCTTTAAATATTCCCAACACATAGAAATGATAAACACTCGAAGTGATGAATACCCTACATACCCTGAGCATTACATATTCTATGCCTATAACAAAATACCACATGTACCCCATAAATACGTACAAATGTCATGTATCAAGAAAAAAAAAGTAAATATGAAAGCCAGACCTTTTCAATGGTTTCCTTCTTGCCCTTCATCCATCTTTGAAGGAGCAGACTTATTATTAATTATGTGCTTTTTCTCATGTATACTTGTGACTGCTCAAAATGTATAGTTAGAACATAAGCTGACACTCCCTGACTAGCTAACAATTGACTTATTGATGACTCTACCAGCCAATGATTCTCTTTTTACTCCTGCCCTAAAGACTTTCACTTGAACTACTGCTTTAGAAGCACTCATGGAAAAAAACACCAGTACTCTAGATAGTCCAAAACTTATGGAGAATATTTAGGGTTAGGAAATGATGGGAGAAAAGAAAGCCTATAAAACCAAGATCTTTTAGGGTAAGATGTTTAGATAGAATTAGCTCACTACACTCATATCTTTATTCTCCAGATGATGAAATCCCTGGAATTTTACATTTTTATTTGTGTAATACATGATAATTCAACAACTAGAGACTCACTTTAAGAAATTTCTTTTAATTAGCACATACACATATTAATCCCTTAAAATACTAAATTGCCAATTTGGAGTGTTGGCTTAATTGTGGGGACAGGCATGATAGTTACTTCGAAATGGAGTACTTGGGTAGAGGAACAGGGTAAATATAATAGGCATGGTGCCTGTGATAGTATTGGCACTCTAGACACATGGCTGAGGTGGATCTGAGAAAGTGCATGTGGAGAATAAAGTCGAAAGGAGTCAATATCACAGTTTGCCAACATCAAGAATTTGAGAAAACTCTGCTCTGAATAGCTCTTGTTCATGAGACCTACAACGAACGCTAATGCAATTGGTGTTACAGTCAAGACCTACTTTGTGTAAACTAGGCTCTTGTGAGCCTCGTTGACATTGTTTCTGTGGAAATATGTGTTGGAAGTTTTAAACCTTCAATTTAGAGAGGAAATTTTAGAGCAAAATCCTTTGTGAGCTATACTAGAACAAACACATGTACGTGTTCTAAAGTTCATACAACTTACAGACACATACACTCATACAAACACACACATGCTACAACTGAGTGATGTTCAGTTATTGCAGGGACTTACTATCCTTTTGGGGATAATAACCTTGATCCTTCATAGCTTACTTGCACAGATTCCAAAAGGTGAATAGGAGAAGGAGAGGAAAACACTCATATTTCTCCATTTTTAAGGAGCTCTTGGCAGAGTTGTGATTACATAACTGTGTTGATTTGGAAGTTTCAGGAAAGTCTCCACTCCTTTCAGTCCCCTGTCGCCATCCCTTAATTCATCTATAATATCTTTCTTTGACTTCCTTCACTTTGCTGAAATTCTACCACTAAGCAAGGATGAAGTTGGGTACAGTTGCATTTGAGAGGATGGAGATACCTAGTTTTATTATCAATAAGGGTGGCTGACATGACTATTCTATAATAAGAGTTTAGCACATGATATGTCTAATATGCATTCTGAGCCTATCATTTATAAGTGAGGAAGTTATTGAGACTCAGCCAGTGTATGCTCAGGGTTCTCTCCAAAGAGACACAGCCAGTAGCTCTTTGTGTCAGGTGTGTGTGTCTAAGCTAATTCCTTAAAATATTAATAAAGACCAACCTTCTCCCTCCTTCTTCCCCTCCCTAACATGTGTATATCTTTATACATATATTAGAGGATTATTCTTGCTCTCTCTAATGTGTCGTATATATGCATATATGTGTGTGTATGTATGTTTACACACATACATACTACATACATACATACATGCATATGTTATATTTGTGAGTGGCAGGGTATTTATTTCAAGGAATCGACTCACACAGTTGTGGAGGCTGGCAAGTCCAAAATCCATAGGGATGGAGACCAGGAAGAGTTAATGTTGCAGTTTAAATGTGAAGGAGTCTGTGTAAGCAGGATTTCCTCTTCCTCATGGGAGATCAGCCTTTTTTCACTTGAGGTCTTCAACTGATTGGATGAAGCCCACCCACTTTATGGATGATTATTTGCTATACTCAAAGTCTTCGGATTTAAATGTTAATCTCATGTAAAAAATACCTTCATAGCAACACCCAGACCAGTATCTGACCCAATATTTGGGCCCTGTGGCCTAGCTAAATTGATGCATAAAATGAACCATCATAGCCAGTCAGAGAGAGTTCCCCTAGGCTATATTACTGGCAAGTGGTAGAACCACAATTTGAATCCAAGTCTGTCTGCCTATAAAAACCCTCACTTTTTCCACTGTGGCATAGCACCCTTAGGTAAGCAGGTTATTTCTTGTAGCATCTAGCTGAGATGTAATTCCTCTTGGAAGAACGAAAATTTAGATCTGAGCAAGAAGGGTGAGAAGGGAAGGTTGTTTGGGAGCCGCAGGTGCTTGAGGAATTGGGTAAGGGAAAGGCAAGTCAGGAAAGTCTCATTTCGATGGTGATATCATGGAGCAGAGCTTTGGTTGGGTTGGAGGACTTGGCATTGGGGGGCACCAGACTTGGTCTGATTTAGCAGTTTTGGCTTGGCCTGGACCTGGTTCTGTAGAAGGTACTCCATCCACATTTGCATTGGAAAATGAACTTCTTGAAGGCAGGACTGTGTCTTATTTATCCTTGTATTTGTCTTATGTGCGTGGTAGAGTGTCTAGCTATTAGATTGATAAACTCTTTATCTACTAAATTTATGGTAGAAGGTTAGGATCGGGGTTTAGGTATTGGACAGCTATAGCCTGTTGTGCTTTTGCAGTGTTTTCTGAAGGTTGAACATAGTGTCTGCTCCTTTTCCGGGGTGTTGTCTGGCTAGATCGAGGGCTTTGTGTGGCACTGCAAATCAGGAGCTACTTTCTGCCTGCCATTTATGTTCACTGACCCAGAGAGATACCTGATGGGCCCTGCAAGTTCTCACTTCCTCAGAGTGAAGAGAGCAGCTGCTGGTTGGCAGCCTCAGCCGCGGTGCTGATTTCCCATAGCGCCTAGTTATTCACCAGATGCTGCCCTAGAACTATCCCTACTGTGGCTAAATATAAGAAAACAAGCTAGGTAGTGATTTTGGTAGTAAGTGACTAGGTTTATTTGGGCAGGTGGTTTATTGTCAAAATTGTTTCTTTTCACTTCTGCACATGTGCCTGATTGAGTGCGTGCTAAAGTGGAACAAGAGACCAGACAGGGACAAGAATAATCACTATCATGGCATTTGGCACTCTGACTCCAAACCTCATTTGCTAAACTGACTCTTAATCGATAAAAGCGATGCCCTGAACCTAGATGAATTTATTCTGAAGCATGGTTTCTTATCCATACTTTAAGGTTCATTTTACTATGACTTGGAAAGTCTGGCTGGTTTTTGTTCTCCTTTGACATCAGGCTTTCTCTCTCTGCTTCAGCGGATCCCCCTGTGATCTCGGAAGAGAAAGGGCCCTGTTACCGACTTGTCAGTTCCGGAAGGCAGTGTATGCACCCTCTGTCTGTTCACCTCACCAAGCAGCTTTGCTGTTGTAGCGTGGGCAAGGCCTGGGGCCCACACTGTGAGAAATGTCCCCTTCCAGGCACAGGTAAGACACGCCAGCTGTGCGCTCACATACAGTCCCAGCCACGTGCGTGTGCTGGATATTTAGGTTTAGGGAGACCAGAAGGCTGTGCTGGCCTTGTGCTTTACTAAATGACTGGCTGCTCATCACTCACAGTAACCAGCCTTGTGCAGGTTGACCCATTCCCTCATTTATCGAACCTTGTGGTTAATTTCTTTAATTGGAATTAGAGGGAATTATGTACGTGATTGAATTTATGCTATGAAGCTTAATAACTCAAGGGCAGATCCTGCCAAAGCCCCTGTGAACTTCCAGAGGAGCTGAGTAGTAAGAAGTTGATTTTTCCTTAGCCTTCAGTTTGGTACATAATTGCCTGATGCCCTGAAAGGGTAAATTTATCTAAGTACCTTACTTCTAACAAGGAACCTCCAACTTCTCAAGCAGGATAAAGTAGAGTTAAATGGAATAGAGAGAAATGTAACCTACAAATATCGGGCATGATATTACCAAGAAAGGAGTGGCCTTTCACTGGCTTGAGATGGGCATGAAACAGTCTGTTTAGTTGTTTATTTGGTAAGGTGCTTCCCACCTTGGGAATTGTTTTAACTCTCACAAGGCCATGTTGTATCTTAAAGCTATAACTTACACTAGAGCAGACAAGGTTTAAATATAATTTAAGTATCATGATTCACCTTTGTAGAATCAGAAATAACTCTGTTAAGGTAAGGCAAAGATAATACAAGGTTGATGGTATATTGGTTGATTAGATAATTTTTTAGACACCTCCAAAAGGCCTCCTGTTCTACCTGATCTCCTTGTTATTAAAAATTAATGGTCAAGTAAATGATCTTTATAATTCTTAGACATATTCATCTTGAAGTTCACTTTTGATAACTTTGTAATCCTCACATGAAGCATAAATTAAGATGGTGAACATAACTCAGGGATATTCCTCTATATTACTGTAACTGAAATTGAAAAGAATATCAAGGGTAAAATTTTTGCATTTAACTAATTTTTGGTTATATGATGATTTTCATTTAAAATATTTAGTTCAATAATACTTCAAAATTTGGTAGAAAAAAACAGCATGTTTTTCTTTTGGAAACATCTTTTCAAGTAAAAATTATATTTTCTAGTTAAGCATAAGAACAAATATCCACCATTTAGCATGTGATCCTTAGAAAAATAATATTTTAGCATGTTTTAATGACTATTTTAGAGTTTCCTTTTTATTGAGAACTTATTTTAGGTCCTGAACATTCAATAGAAGATCTCTTGTTCAGTGGAAGTGAGAAATGACTTATTTTACTTTCAATTTTAAAAGTAGAAATAAAAAAAGTTGACCATAAGCTCCCTGGTGTCTGCGTTTAGTAACTTGCCTCCAACACCAACACCAAAGGGATTAGGTGGATTTTTCCTCCTTGGGCCACACACCGCCTTTACCCCCCAGTTTTTCCCTTTTACTTACTCATGGGGATTATTCAGTGGAGGTTAGCAAATGATGTGAGTCTACTTTTTTTTTCTTTTTTTAAGAAAAACCACTTTTTTCTGGCAGGGCTAGCTATTCCAGGGCACAGAATATCTCCTCGTCCTTTGGGTAATTAAACCAGCTGGTCATGTCCAGGCTTTTGCCCACTTGTCATTTTTTTTGCTTGGAAATAGCTGCATCCTGATCCGACATTTCCTTCCTTCCTTGATTTCTGTCATCTTTAGCATGATTCCCTTTGCCAGATTCCTTCTCATTGTCCTGAGAATCTCTCTCCACAAACCCTTCCCCATTTCAGTCCTCTTCCTCCGTAACCAACATCCTGATACCAGTTGATGCATTGCATTCAGGCTGAGCATTTTGGGTTCTTCCACAGGAAACAAATCATGAGGATTTCAGCCTCACATTTCCCTGAATAGTGATTTCTTTTTTTTTTTAAACCTTCTTATTCGTCATCTAACTTAGATGTCAACAAGCTCTTTGTTAATAACTACTGAAATTACAACAAAGTAGGAAGAAAAGAAGAAAGCCTTGTTTTTGCTGATAATATGCACACATGCAACAAGATATATAGAATATATATAGTATTTTCTGTATGTAAAATATCTCCTAATGTATTATGTATATATGTATTACATATATGATATTACATATATAATATGATATATATATGTATCTCCTAATTGGTTGCTGATATTTATACAGTCTGCTCTCCATATCCGCGGGTTGAGTACACAGATGCAGAACCCACGGATATGGAGGGCCGACTGTACTAAAGCCAGTTTATGTAAGGGACATAACAATCGAGGATGTTGGTATCCTCAGGGGGTCTTGGAACCAATCTCCCATGGATCCTGAGGGATGACTGTATATATAATATGATCTATAAAATACAACGAAATATATGCTATATATTTATAATGTATATATTCTGATTGAGTAGAATAAGGAATTAACAGATGGAGAAATGTTTAGTAAAAAAAAAAAAAGGTTGGATTTTTTTTGTAAATATTCAAGTTTATCAGATATTAAAGCAATTTGCTTACATTTTGCATCTTTTTGAAGTCTTTAAATGTAACTATATTAGTGATGATTTATTAAGAGATATTCATCATGATATTATCCTCTGTATAAGTTTGTACTGTTAGATTTTTAAAAGGAATATTTTCCCATCCCAAATCTAGCTGCTTTTAAGGAAATCTGTCCTGGTGGAATGGGTTATACGGTTTCTGGCGTTCATAGACGCAGGCCAATCCATCACCATGTAGGTAAAGGACCTGTATTTGTCAAGCCAAAGAACACTCAACCTGTTGCTAAAAGTACTCATCCTCCACCTCTCCCAGCCAAGGAAGAGCCAGTGGAGGCCCTGACCTTCTCCCGGGAACACGGGCCAGGAGTGGCGGAGCCAGAAGGTGAGAGTGGAAATGGATCTTGGACTCTTGCCATCTGTCTGTGTGTCTCTGGTTTCCCTGTTTATACCCCTCCAGAACAGAGTTTCCCAGCTTTGGCACTTGTTGACATTTTAGGGTGGATAATTCTTTGGTAGGGAGTGTTCCCTGCATATTATAGGCTGCTTAGCAGCACCGTGGTTTTTAATCTCTAAATGCTGGTAGCACCTTCCCCCTTCCATTGTTATAACCAAAAAGGCATCTAAGCATTGCAGATGTCCTGGGGTGGGGGTGGGGCAAAATTTCCCTGACTGAGAACCGTTGCTCTAGAATAATACATACCTGGCAGGTCACGATATTCCACGGTAATTTCAGGACATTGTCTTCCTATTTGGGGGCTGCTTTTTTTCTCGGTGTTTATTAGTCACTAGAGAGTGATTTAAATCCTTCAGGTAACAGCCCCAATTCATTTCTTGTCTAGAGAGCCATAAGATAAACATTTATTTACTTTACAAAGTAGAATCTGCAGTGTTTAAAAAGTTAAAGCATTAACTGAGCAGCCATTAGACAGAGTCTGATGGGCAGTCAGGGATGGTGGAGGAAGAAATGAAGGAATGGAGGAGACAGTCAACAGAAGGGATCTGGAGATCACCGAGGACTGTCCTTTCATTTACCTTCAGAGAAACCTGAGACCTAGAGAGGGATTGTGATTTGCCAGGTGTCAAAGAGCATGTCCTGGTACCTGTGACCAAGGGACACATTTTTCCAAGGCCTTATACTTGAAAGGGCGTCTAGAGACAGTGACTTTGACAATCTCTCTGGCATTCGGGAAGAGGGATCATCTCTCTCTCTGTCTCTTTATATGAACCAGCATATCCAACATTAATATCTTGGTTTTCACAAAAACTCTCATCCTAGATAGAAGGAACAAAAATTTTAGGTTTGTTTGAAATACATATATTCATTCTAATAAAGCTCCTGTTGGCTCTTCATGGTTGATTCTTAGGGCACAAGTCAGGGTACCCATTTATGAATCTTGAGAGGAGGTAGGGTGCCCAGGCTGATGATGAGTTGGGAGCTTGGCACAGCCTTCTTGGTAGGCAGGATTTTTTCTGGGCTCTGAACATTTGTGTGTTCTGCCCTATTCTATTCTATTCTTTCACTCACTATACTTCTTCTTGGTTAGGCAGAGCAGGTAGGACCACACGTGGAACTGTCAGCATTGATCAGTTTATCCATGTACACTTGGAGTGTCATGGCCAGATGTTTGCAACTGTTTGTCCTTTGCACAGGCAGGAGGAAATGGGCTGTGGTCCAGATTTTGCATCAAGACTTTCTTGGTGGTGGGTTAAGCAGGATAGGTTAATTGACTTTCTCCAACCACAAGAATATTGCAGCAGTAATTTTAATTTATCTGGTACCCTAATTGCTTTTAGAAGTTAATGCACCTACCCAACTTGTATGTTAATGTTTAGGAGACAGTAATTATGAGAAAAATTCTGGGGAATGTTGACCCAGGCCTCAAGGACTAATGCTAAGTACTGAGTAATGAAAGCAAGTCTTTCAAAGTACAAAGGCATCACCACGACCCCCACATGTTTTGTAATATGTAATTTGTTCAATATATTAATACTGATCTGTAGTTGGCTCTTATTGGCTTGTGAGATTCTTTTTCATAATTGAATTAGCATATCTTTCTGAAAATGCTCACTCGGCTTCATTAAGGATTAGGGTACATCAAGAATGCAGCATCTATTCTCATGTCTGTTACTGAAACAGTGGCCTTCTGTTTTAACATTGATACCAGAGAGCATTTCAAACATTATATACTATATTAAATATTTGACCAATTAATGAAAACGTTTGTTTTCTAAGATACAGGAAGTTCCACATAATTGAAATTAGGCATAAAATAATATGCCAGAGAGTGTTACCTTCTTTAACTTTTTAGTTTAATTATCTCAATTTTGAATGAGAGAGGTCGAAAGATTTACATGTGCTCCCTGAGCTCCTGTAGTTGAAAAATAACATAACACTGACAGTTTTCTATCAGTTGTGTGTAAAATTCTCCATATGGTAGATAACCTTATTCTGCATTTGCTTTAGTTTGATTTTTAATTTTGAGGAAGAGATACTAGACTTTTGTTTTTTAAAATTGAAAGATAATAGAGTGAATTTGTCTTAAAATGTACTAAAGCCCTTCTTTCTTTTCTGGTTTTAGTGGCAACTGTACCCCCTGAAAAGGTAATGTATTCATGGTTTGCAAGTCTTTCTTTTTAACCTTCAAAATGATTTTCTGTTAGAATATGTATGAATTTTTAGACTTAAAAATAGTAACATAACTATTATGCATCATTTGGGTTAAGTTAATATAGCACTCATTTATTCAAGAAATATTTCTTGAGCACCTGCTATGTGACTGGTACTATTTTCAGTGCTAGGAAAACAATAAAAGAAATAAAGAACAAATAAAGAAAACAATAAAGAACAAATCAGATGAAATCCCCTACTTTCATGGAGCTTAAATTCTAGTGCAAAGAAAATGGTGGAAACTAACGGGCATCAGGGTGTAAACAGAATTCAGACAGCCAACTGATTACCTGGACCATCTGTGGAAAGAAAGGCTCTCATGTATTTAGGCAATTGTGTATTCTTAGAGTTCACAGTGCATATATAATGAGTGATGCACTTCTTAATTCAGCTAAACTTCAACAAACATGTTTCAATTGAATTAGAATAAGAACAGAGCTTGCCCTTGAAAGATAGATTCAAATACTAGAATGTTGCTTCTTTGAAATTTTAGGGTAATTTTTAAAAAAAATTTTTTATTTTATTTCAGCATATTATGGGGGTACAAATGTTTAGGTTACATATATTGCCTTTGCCCCACCCGAGTCAGAGCTTCAAGTGTGTCTATCCACCAGGTGGTATGCATTGCGCCCATCCCCGCCTACCCTCTCCCATCTGCCCAATACCAGCTGAATATTATTGCTATCTGTGCACTTAAATGTTGATCAGTTAAAACCAATTTGATGGTGATGAAATTTTAGAGAAATTTTTATCAATCTGTTGGTATTTGGGCATGAAATGGGACAATGAATTATGAAACTTTAGTAGGAAATGTTAGTATTTGCTGGATCTGAGTCCTACATATATAATATTGTTCCTTCTCTGAATCTTGCTTTGATTCTTTATTTAATGATAACATGAAAATTAAGTAATTATTAAACATTTATACATTATATACCATTCATTCAGTTGACAAGCATGCATTAGAATTTAGATGGGGACAATATGTCCATAAATTATTATAAATAGTTTTTTAAATCTTTAGATTATAAATATGGGGTAGGGTAACCGATCAGTACTGAAAGAATCAAGAAAAAGAGAATTGTGATTTTGGAGTGATAGCAGTCGTCAAAGGAAGAAGTTATATTGGGTCCAAAGGAAGTACAACAGATGTGGATACTTCACATGCACATTTGCAGCGCTTAGCATCTCTGAAGATCAGTGATGGAGAGTAGTTTGCAATTTTGTTGATTTTGAATAGTTTTGGTTGATATATGGGAGGGATCATTTAGCTTGTGAGTGGGCCAGCCAGTGTGGCCTGACAGCCTCATCATGACTCAGTTCTCCTCTGTTTATGATCAAGTTTATAGTAACTCTTCTTAAGAATCTGAAAGAGATCCTGAAAATGTTCGTGTATATACTTTTACAACATTTTATTTGGTGAGGCGGTAGTAGGAAAAATGCAATTATAGTCTTTGTGGTCATGGTAACCTTACAGAGGTCTCATGATGTTATGGAATGGATGAAGAGAAAGAAGGATGGCCTAGGGGTAGTTAATTACGTGTGCAAAGGTGTGGTGAGGGAGCAGCAAGAGTCATAAAATACTTGGTTAGAAAAAAATGGGGGGGGGCTGCTTTGGTAGGCTTGGAACACCAAACTGCAGTTGTAATCATTGGGGAAATACCCTGCTTCTCAACTGGACCCTACCTGCTAAATGGAGAAATGGTATAGATTAGGAAGTCTGCTGCCTCATGCTGATGGGGGAGGGTTTGTCCCCTGAGCTGTAGGAGTGGATTAGCACCTGATCATAGTCTGTTCCTTATTGGCATTGGCCATGGGGTGCAATTGAGACTGGCTGAGGTCATGCCTAAAAAGTCATAGAAAGATAATCTGTGTTCTTAAGAAGAGGAGGAAATGTGGGAGAAGTAATAAGTGTTCAATATTTCTGGGAGATGAATTTTAACAGGACTAACTGAGGTAGGAAGAAAGAGGAAGCCTGAGAGCCTCGTTAGATTATTACAATAAACTGAGAATGAGAGAGTGAGTCCAGCCCGGGTTGGTGGGTCTGGGAGTGTGGAAAAGGGTAAACAACTATAAGAAAGGGAGCCAGTGGGGCAGGGCTTGGAATGAGGAGTGAAGAATCTGAATCTGAATGAGACAGGATTAATGGATGTGAAATTGGCAGAAATGATGAAGTTGGAATGAGAGCCTGGATGGTTTCGGAGGAGATGGATTTTTGAGGTATCTGTGGAATATCTAAATGGATTACCCTGTAAGCATTCACGCTTCAACACAGTTGCATCTGTGATGAGATATTCAGACAGGCTATTTTAGAAAAAGCAGAAAAGACATGACAATTGAAGCCAGAGGAGAGGAAAAGAGGTTAACGGAGGCCAGAGGAGTAACCCTTCTGGGAGATGACTGTGACCAAATAACTTGATGAATACTTTTAATGCGGTGATGGTGTGAGCTCTCTGGTACCACTCTGGTGAGGGCAAAGTCACAGACCCTTAACTAGGCTAATTGTTGGAAGCTGAGCCCTGGGTGGTAGACTGCTTCTTTGCTTGAGGTCCAGGGGACAAGAGTGGGTGACCATATATTGAGGAAGCCACAAATCTTCCTTCAGGACAGCAGTTTTCTGTTGCTCTGGGTGACAGCCACTGTTTAGAAAGCTGGAGTTGTAAAGTTATCAGATGTGAGGTTAAGGGAAGCCATGATGGCTGACTGGTTTAAACTATTTTAACTTACTGTGTCTCCTTTATTATGACACATTTGCTATATCCATGATTTAATCTGCAAAGCATAGCTGGTCATCTTAGTGGGGCAGAGCCACATGTGAATAAGGTGAAGGTTTAGTCCTCTTTCGAGGTTAGTTGTGCCCTGTTGCAGACCAAATGTGGACCACTGGGCCAATTCATAGATTACTGAAAAGATCTAACTTTGGGCCTCAGGGAAATGGCTGAGGGTATGTGCGTGGATCAGCACTGCTGGGAGAACTCAAGGGCTTGCCATAGTAGCACCACAATGATAGCTTTTGTTTTTTTAAATTCCAAACAATTACACAGATAAGGTCCTTTGACATTTCTTTGCCATTCTAAGGGTATAATTAATTAAGTAAAAATAGTAACGTGTGGGAAACTAAAAATAATTCTCACTTTCAATTCCTCCCTCTCTCTCTCAATACAACCATCCAGGAAATACCTTCATTGGATCAAGAGAAAACCAAACTTGAGCCTGGTCAACCCCAGCTCTCTCCTGGCATTTCGACTATTCATCTGCATCCACAGTTTCCAGGTAACCTGTGTGGATCTGTGCTGTTTGTAAGGGTATTCCGAATTGAAGCATAAGATAGGAGTGTTCTGTCTTTGATTTAAATAGCTCATTAGAATTCATAATTGAAGTTAATTGTAAAAAAATGTACACAAGTATCTTAATATACTCATAATGTTAGTGCATGGTGTTATAAGTATCATAATGGGAAAAATAATTTTTCACTGTTTTCTGTGGTCAGGAGTAGTATATACTATTCAGACATTATTGAAAGTCATTATGTGATGAATGGTCTTTTTTTTTTTTTTTTTTGGCTTCTGAGTCACTGTCAGATATTCTTGCTAAATATTGAAACCAGAGCAATAAATTAATACCCTCATGAGCTTTCGGGGCCTATAATAGTTCTTTATATCCAAGAACTATTATGTGATATATTGTTACACTAGATCATGCTTGCATTTTGAAATGGGATCTCAGTGCACATAACAGGCTTTAATTTTATTTTTATCCACTACTTCCTCATGTAGTAGTGATTGAAAAAACATCACCTCCTGTGCCTGTTGAAATAGCTCCTGAAGCTTCTACATCAAGTGCCAGCCAAGTGATCGCGCCTACTCAAGTAACAGGTTGGTGCAGTATTTGTTATGAAATATATCCTATGGAAGAGACACGGGTCTGAACCTCATTTTATTTTATTTTTTTTCACTCTGAACAAACAGCAAAACGTATTTCCGTTTTAAAACAACACTTGGCAGAAACAAAATTGACAGCTTTGATTCAGTGCAAATTATTATGGAGTTAGTACTGCTCAGACCATTTCAAACTAATTTTTCAATATTTTGAGTTATTTATTAATATGTTTGTATAGTGGGGGATGTGGCTTTAACCCTTTGCCATAAGTTTTCAAACATAATTGGCACCTCAGTAACTAAAGAGGCAGGAGAGATACTCTTTGCAGACTCTTCATTTTGCTTTAGTATCGCCATGTGGATCTGAAAAGTAAATTCACAGTCAGCCACCTCTTTTACTGTAAATTAGCCTATACTGCAGCCTCCCCAAAATGCAAAAGTTGGAAGAAGAGCAGAATGTTCGGCAGTGCTCATTAATGTGTTCAACTTTGGGAGAATCTGCTAATGTTCTCCTTAATTTTCACACAAACTGAGTAGATTAGTTAATGTTAATAACACAAACTCCATTAATTTGATTCATTTTTTTTCCCTCTGACTTGGAGGCCATGCTTTGCTATGTACCTGAGAAAAGAATTTTTAACAGCCTTACAGTTGGCTAGAAAAATTAACTTGTTTAGAAGTCATGTACATGGTGGCACTTATTTGTTTCTATATCTGTCTCCTCAGTGGAAGGGGACTTTCTTGATTGCAAGCGTTCAACTTTGTCTTTGCAACCCTAGGACCTAGTCCAGGATGAGTTTTGTACTTTTTATTTATTTTTTTATTTAAGTAGATTTAGAAGGTACAGTGTTTTTTTTGTTACATGGCTGAATTGCATAGTGGAGAAGTCTAGGCTTTTAATATACCTGTCATCTGATCAACCTCATTTTCAATGCAGTATAAAATGTATAGATTGCTCATGGCAGAATTAGTCATAATAGCAAATATTTGGAAATAATCTAAATATTGTTAAAAAGGAGGAGTATGTATAAATAAATAATAGTACATATGCAGTGAATCATCACATAGTTATTAAAGTAACATTTTAAAAGAATAATGTCATGAGGAAATACTTATAGTTAAGAAACATAGAACACAATATAATGATTTCAGTTTATTTTTTAATGTCTACATATATAGAAAAGGAGACAGAAAATGCATCAAAGCATTCAACTCTCACCAGTTATAGTCTTCAATATATTTTTATGTATTTTCAAAGTTCTTAATAAACATTTTAATTATTAGTGAAAAAATTATAAAAATGTATTATATTTTGAAACAAATGCAGAAGCCTACATGTTAATATCCTTAATGTGTAATGAGCTCTTATAAATCAATAAGAAAAATGCTAACAATACAGAAATGGAAAAAGAATATGGTCAGATAATTCATAGGAAAAGACAATACTAAGGAGCATATAACAGAAAACTTCAACTTTACTAGTCGAAATGCAAATTAAAATAGGGTAATACTTTATTCTTATCCAATTAGTATTTAAAACCCAGTAAAAGTATTTTTATTAGGGTGAAATTGAGACTCTCACATTACTGAAGGCAGTATGCATCAGGGTTCTCCGGAGAAATAGAACCAATAGGGTGTATATGGATATATAGGAAAAGCTTCATTATGAGGGATTGGCTCCCACGATTCTAAGGCTGTGAAGTTCCCTGGTCTGCTATGTGCTAGCTGGAGGCCCAGGGAAGCCAATGGTGCGATTCCAGTACAAACCCAAAAGTCTGAGAAGCAGGGGAGTCAGTAGTGTAAGTCCCACTCTGAGTCTGAAGACCAAGTACTGAGAGTGCGGGTGTCCAAGGGCAGGAAAAGAAGGATGTCCTGGCTCAGGCAGAGAGCAAATTCTCTTTCCTCTGCCTTTTTATTCTGTTCCCGCCCAGCCCTCAACAGATGGGGTGATTCACCCTCACATTGGTGAAGGTGATCTTCTTTACTCAGTCTACCAATCCAAATGCTTATTTCTTCTGGAAACACTCTCATAGACACACCGAGAAGTAATGTTTTACCAGCTATCTGGGTTTCCCTTAGCCCAGTCAAATTGACTCATAAAATTTACCATCACAAAGCATAAACTGGTTCAGCTTTTCTGGAAAGCACAAACTGGCAATATGTATAAAGAACTTTAAAAATGTTCAGCATTTTTGGCTCAGTAATCCTATTTTAAAATATCTTCTCTATAGTCCCAGCTACTCGGGAGGCTGAGGCAGAAGGATCGCTCGAGCCCAGGAGTTTGAGGTTGCTGTGAGCTAGGCTGACGCCATGGCACTCACTCTAGCCTGGACAACAAAGTGAGACTCTGTCTCAAAAAAAAAAAAAAAAAAAAAATTAAAAAATATCTTCTCTATAGAAATAATGTCCTCAAAGACTGTGGTAATGCTTTATATAAATGGTTACTTATTACAGTACAATGTATAATAGAGATAAAGTAGAAACAATGTAAATATTCTACTATAGGGAAATACATAATTATGTTACATCTATACATTGGCAGATTATGTTACCACCTAATATAGTGTTTTTGAAGAATTTTTATTGAAATCTATCTGGCAGGAAATAGTCACAAGATAACTACTAAATTTAATATGAAGGATATCAAAAATGAATGATACAGAGTATTATACCAGTTCTTAAAAAAAAGATATAAATACATTGAGAAAATACTGGAAGAAAATACACTAGATATTAGTAGGGATTATATTTTTGTAGTGGGACCTGTTACTGAAAGCTCAGCACTTGACCCAGAGGCTGCATCAGAAGAATGAGGACAAGTGGTTTGAGGAGAAGGAAGGAGGAGTTTATTAATTTGCTGGCAAATGAGGAGGATGGAGACTCCTGTCTAAAATGCCGCTGTCCTCCTAATAAGCAGAAATGCATACAGAGCTTTTAAAGGGAGGGTTTCAGCTTCAGGAAATTGCTGTTCATCTTGTCTCCAGGGAAAACAATCTCATGACCTCTGCCCACCAGGGAGGCCCACCGGACCCCCTGGACCTTGGCCCCATGGACAATTCTGCTGAGCCATGTGCTGTAGCATAAAGAACAGAAGACATTGTCCTGCCCCTCCCAACCACTGGCCTGAGGCAGGGGGTGCAGGTTGTAGTCCTGGAAAAGGGTGAGAAGGTTTTAAAAAGACAAGACATTTTTACTGTTTTTTTTTCTTTTTCAGGCCATTCCCTCTGTAATAGACCTAGGAGGTCTAGGTGTTATTTTGTTTCAGAATTTTATTATAAAGCAGGCAGATATTTTTAGAGTGAGAAAAAAATGTCACCCAGAGGCATCATATCAACTTTAAGTTCATGATACCATTGCAGGCTGAGGTGGGCACTGTATTACAGCAGTACCTAATAGGAGAGTTTGCAGCCTCCTCTAGAATATTCCTTCCTTGGAAATATAATACGTTTCATTTCAAATAGAAATGCTTTTGTGTGTGAAACTTTTAGCCACTTCCTCAAAAATGTGGATGTATAATACATTCTCTTAGATACTTGAATTGAGACAGTAGACTGCAAGGTGTTTTTAAAAGGCACCTCTCTCCCAAGGTGAAATGCCAGGTGACTAAGGAGTAAAGAGGTACACCACAGACTCAGTGATAGTGTGCCTGCTCCAAGAACTATGGCCCTGCCCACACTGCCCAGCAGCCACTCTGGTCTTACTGAGTAAAGTGATATAGAAATGTTAGTGATTCTATGTATTTTTGGTGTGATACAATGAAATGATAGTGATTTTTAAAAACAGCCATGGCTAAAATTATTATTTTCCATTCTGAGGTCATATATGTATCTACCCACTTTATTAAGCACCTCTATAATAGGCCCTGCTTTGCACGGTGAGGTGTACAAATGTGATTTTACTGTCTTTGTCAGCAAGGATTTTCTGATCATTTACATCAATATTAAAAAGAAAAATTGCAATGAGAGCATGTACTGCAGTTCACTAATTCTTCCTAAATACCATATTTCCATTTTTCAGTATGAAGGTAAACTCTAGTTTTAAATGGGCACGGCTGACTTCAGTGGACAGACTTCTTGCAAACAAGCTTTATAGAAGTTAGTTAAATGTAGTTCCATCATTTAAATGCAGCTGCATGAGGACTAACAAATTGAAGTTATTCAGCTTCAACTGAACTATAGGGCTGATTGAAACAAACGAAAGTAGCCCTGCTATAGGAAAGTTGTTAGATGACAACTTGTTAGAAACTTAATTTGACTTTGGCAGAAATACAAGGCTAACATCTGCTGTCACATGTTTGAAACAGGAATGTTTTCTTCTAGAAAACAAGTGATGCTGAATTTTTTTTTCATGTAACAGTTGTAGGTACTGCCACTTTCTATAGTAAAAGAATCTTACTGAAAGAACCCATGGGGAGAGCATTATAGAGAGTCTTTGAATTGAAATAGTTTGCAGCTTAAAGCTGCATCATAAACAGTGATCTGTATTAGCACAAGAAGACTGTTTTGTATCAAATTTAATTTCAATCAAAATGTACATATTCACACTGGTTTGATATGAGGGCCAAACCCAGATTTAAGGAGCAATCCGATCAAGTATCTCAAGAATATTATTATATAATGCTTTTTTGTCTCCAAAACACAGAGGGTATAAATGTTATTTGTTACTGTTAGTTTCTCCCACAATTAAAGAAAGTCATAGTAATAAGAGTCTAAAATAAATATAATTCAGCTCCGTATTACTTAATGATGATATCTTTATGATGGTGAGACTGTAAGTAGCCTTTTTAGATTTAGCCAAACACACTTTGACATGTAATATTAATAATTATAAAGCGAGCTGCATATTTGCAGGAAGTTAAGTGTGATATTTTCCACTCTTAAAAGCTGACTTGGTGGCTTGTCGCATTATTGGAATACTTTTTTCAAATAAATTATACGTTTCAGCATATAAATTCTTGATGTAGCATAGTGTCTTAATAGCTGAGGGATAGGTTGGAGAACACAAACCTTCATTTCTCGGGGAGGATTTACAAAGTGGAAACATCTGTTTCAGTTGTTGTGGGACAATCTATGCTCATGGTGGGGCTGTTAGGAAGCCAGGGCATTTCTGTAAACCTTTCCCTGAGTTAACATGTGAAGCCTTCCTCTGGCTCTTCCTGAACTTTCTTCATGGCCCTTGCAGATCAGCCAGAGATTATTCTTTGATGTCCACGACTGCCTTGTGAAAACTTCTGTAATTATCATGGTTCAAACATTTTAAAAACTATTTGCTCATCAGATCTTTTTTAGAACTCAGAAATTGACCCCTTAAAAAACTTTGTCTCTCAAGCATATTAGTAGTGTCATTACAGCCTCAATAGACTATGCTGAGGGAAAATGAACTGTGTGTGTGTGTGTATGTGTGTGTGGGTGTGTGTAAAATCATCATGCTTCATTTCCAAACGCTGTTTGTTTATTTATTCATTCATTTGAGTAATCACATGATGAAGAAAACCGCTAAAGGTCCGCATACTCATTTTCATATTTTGCCCAAAGCTTTCTTTTTCATTTAATTTTAGGAAATATAGTAAAGACACGAAACTGTTAAGTCCACCATTGGCCTTGTTGCTGGGATAAACAGGGCACTTGGTTTACCGTTGGCTTTTGGTCATGGCTCTTTCTCCAGTTTCTAAGTGAACTCCAGTGGACGGAATAGAATAAGGTCCTTGACCCGGTGAAGGTGGAGTTGTTTCAGGGTGGCACATATGGTAGGAAAGGGCAGGGTTGTCCTGGGAAGGACACATGAAAGAGCCCGGTGGGGAGCACTCACGTGACCATCTCTCTGGGTAGCCAAGCATGCTGAAGGAGATAAGACATTTCTATTCATCGGCGTACCGCTGACACCAGGAATCAGCGCGGTCTGTGAGAGGCTTTGCCTCTGTGGTGTAGCAGAGCCCTGTGTCTAGAGTTTATATTGACACAGTCTGCTCAAAGAAATTTATGTTTCCACATGAACTGATCCATTCAGTGGGAACAGGCTCCCATGCCTGTGAGTGAATGATGTCTTAGAAAAATATAAAGCATAGTGTCTTTGTCCTGAAAACCAGAAAATGCAAAAAATTTCCTTTTCTTCTTCAAGACAATATTCTCAGGACTCATCTTTCTGCGTACTATGTATGTGCTCAAGATGGCAAACCTAATAGAAAAGGAAGGAAAGCATGGGGACAGAGGGTGGGAGATATGTTTAAAAGTTTTTAAATATAAGTACCAGTAATTTGTTTATCTTAAAAAAGAAAAACTTGATGTTTAACATTTTGATGACTAGTGAATAGAAAGCAAACAGAGGTGTTTGGAAGGTGTGTGGCCCTTTTCTGTCTACCTACAAGGGTGAATCCTGCCTGGCAGAGAGATGAAAGGGTTCTCTGAGGTCAGATTGATGACAGTTACGTTAATTAATCACTTGTGTAAAAATGGGCAATCAATGTGGAAATCAAGTACGTTTTAGAAAATGTCCCCTCTGTCCTTTGATGTATCTCTTAGTACCCTCTAGTGGTGTCAGCATAACATTTTCTTACATTTAACATGTGATCCTGTCAGTCAGGATCAACAATTTCAAGCTGCCTTCCATATACTACTTAATGTATGAGGTAATCAGCTCATAAAAATCCCCAAACATTCTTCCATCGATACAGTTTCCACTTGGTAGCTTCTATGTAAGATACTGAACTGGAAGGAAGGAAAGGCCATTGTTATACATATCCATTTCAATCCCTAAGACTAAAGAGTTATAATTCTTACCTATTTCTCCTACCTTATAGGTGACTTGAAAAGAAACAATCAAAATACGTAGGCCAACTGCGGCATAGGAATGTATCGCATTTGAATTAAGTGTCACATGTTTTTGAAGACTTTTGTTCACATGTGTAAAAGTTCCATTTTGAATCTACGGGCTCCAAATGACAAATAACTTGATGAACAAATTCTTACCGTGGAAGTGGGGCAGTGCCTACCAATCAAGTGTTCATGAAAACCCCAGATTTATAGCCTTTTATTAAACCCTTGCATAGCCTTCTGAATCCTTGCCCCGAGTATACTAATTCATCTTCTAATTAATTCATTTTCCTTTTGAAAATATCGTCAACATGTCTTTCCATTTTAAGAAAACAATAGAGAAGGGTATAAACGAAACAAAGAAAACCAAGAAATCTAAATAACAGTAATTTTCAAAAGAGGCATCTGCCTGTAACATAGAATAGATGGTTAGAGATGTACTTCTCACACTATTTCACTAGAAAATTCCTATAAACAGAGAAGAGAATTCTTCCCTGAAGGTCTACGAGTATAATCTGGTGAAGATTTTTGGCACATAGAAATAATATTTTGTAAGGAAGACTTTTCTGCTTAGGAAAGTACTAATACATACTCTTTGTCAAAAGATATATTTCCTTCCAATCTTCTTTTGTATATGTATTATAGTATAATTTGTGCTGAACTGTGTTTTTTAACAAATAAGCATTGTTCTGTCCTGTTAATGATTATGTAATAATCTATGCTATGCATGTACCATAATTCATTGTTTTGCATTATTGCCAGTCCCTTAAGTTTAAACAATCATGTTAATCATCCATGTTTTTAGCCTTTTGAATTATTGTTTCTATAATTTGATAATACACTGACTACAAACAAATTTTTCTGAAAGTGAATTAGCATAACCAGCCTCATAAAAAGTATAAGAATTTGTAAATACATGGCTTTTGCATTCATGTCTCATACCTCGAGGTGATTTTGATAAGCAGCTCATATGCTTCCTTTGCAAAATCACTTGTGTGAGTATTCTTAAAGTCATAGCACAGTGAATCCTTTAAGAAAAATGAAGAATGTGGTTTTTGGTTTTGGAGAGCAACCTCAACCCCAGTGTAGGTCATTTCCATTGTGAATTTTTATAAAAGCACTGTTTTTCACATTCTTTTTCTGCAGAATGCATAGTGGGTTATTAATGACAATAGTCCTGCTGTTTTTCTTCTCATTCAAGCCAGAGACCCCTCTAACAAAGCTGTGCTTCAGCTTGCTTGCTCAGGGGCACCACTCTACTTACCCTGGGCGGTTCCTTGGCTTCTTCCAAGCCAGCATCTCTTTACAGCCTTGTGTGCTATATGATGACAATGATGCAATAGCCCAAGGTAGTGTTGGTATAAAAGTGCTATTTTTTTTATATATTCTTAAATGATTTCATTATGAACAATAGCAATAATAATAATGACTAACTTTTATCGAGCATATATAATGTGTCAAGCATTGGGCTACCTGCATTATTTAGGTTCCCCCTTTCAATTTCATACTCTGAAGCTAGAATTCCGATTATTTCCATTTTATACATGTAGAAAAGTGAGGCTTAGCATGGTCAGATCACTTGGCCCATGCTACCGAGATATAAAGGGCAGCAGGCTGTGTACCTACCTGTACTGTCTCCAAGCCAGTGACTCTAACCACCAGCTGTACTCTCTCCACTATGCCGTTATAGTTCTTTACAAAGGTCACTGGACATAGAAAATATTAGGGGAGTAATTCATCTCCAAAAGCCATTTTTGAGTCCTTGGGTCCTTTTTGGATGGCCTCCTCCTAACCATGGACTCCTACAACCCTGCCTCCATCTGGGTCTTGTGCCTTGGTGAGTGGAGTGAGGACTTGAATGGGGTTAATTTGCATGGGCTTTATAGAAGAAGCCAGTTTCACCTGGAGATCTGTAGGAGAGTAGGGGAGGAATTTAGCAGAGACGATTTGTAAAAAGATTCCACTTTTACCACTAAAAATAAAATATGCTCTCACTGAAATTGGCAAATTAAGAGGAAGATACATCTAGAAAGTTTTGTTTTGATTAGAAGTGGGAGGTCCTTCTTGGAAATTAATGAGAAAATTTTGGAGGAGGTTGGATGCATCTGTTGGAACTCAAATATGGCCTGCTAATGAATGGAAGGCTACTATATATTTCTTATCAGGAGAAATCACATGATGGTTCAGAAACCATCATGTAAGATGAACTAGAGTGAATAGAAACTCATTGATAGGCCATTTGGGAAATTATTTTATTAAGAATTGATTTTCTTATAACTTTCAACTTGGCCTCTTTCTGAATTTCTCCTTCATCTTAGAAATTGTTTCATTTGGAATTATTAATGAATTTGGATAGAACTAATTAATAATTTATAAAGTAATCACATAAATTTATACTTGATGTCAGACATCATCTTTGTCTTCTATGTGCATATCTGCAGTAAATTGCTAACTAGTAAAAAAATACAGTAATGGTTTGCAAGTGCAATGAAATCTTTGTGTTTATTTCTGCTTTTTTTCACATTATTTTGTTTACTTTTAAAGAAATCAATGAATGTACTGTGAACCCTGATATCTGTGGAGCAGGACACTGCATTAACCTACCGGTGAGATATACCTGTATATGCTACGAGGGTTACAAGTTCAGTGAACAACAGAGGAAATGTGTTGGTAAGACACTTTTGATTGACAAAACTATTAAATATCAAATATTTGCACTTCTAGAAGCTTTTTAAAAGCCAGTTTAACCATTTGAGGAAAATGTTACTGTCTTTAAGTTTTGAAAATGTGTATCTCTCAGCTGTAGAGCTCAAAACAAGATTTGCTAAACTCTTTAGATTCTCTTACTGCTTTGTTCAGTGCTACTATCTGACCAGATGTACTGCATTTACATAAAGGTGAAATAATTTCCCAAAACTTTTCAGATAAAGTGAATAAGAATAGATATATACAAACATGTGTTTGGCAAAAATCTACATATATATACATATATATGGTACAGTAAAGAATTATATTAATCTGAGTGTATGAGATTTGATTTCTAAAAGAGATTTCTAAATTAAAAATCCATGTATGCTGGCACGAAGTTATCAATGAATTTAGAAATTTAGAGATTGCACATATGCTTATTTGGAAAAATGTGTCTCAGAAAGAGGTGTAAGAAAGTTAAGTCATTTAAATGTAACTCTAAATTTAATTTCTCTTTTTATAGAAAAAGAAAATTCAGCACTAAGTTATAAGGCCGATATAAAGCAACAAAGGCACATATCTAATTAATACTCCTTTAATATAAGTGGGTATTTCTATTTGGTTTGTGTTTATGCAGGGAGGGGAGACATCCACCTGCTCCGTGATGTGGCGGTTTCCCTTTCATTTGCATGCATCGGATGTAGCAGGTTTAGAACATAAACTATTAAGTTGAAAAAGCAATAGAGATGATTGATTCCAGCTCCACTCGTGTGTGCAGTGATAAGAGTCACTGTCACAGCATTTCTGACTCCGTGCTCACAGAAAATGTCATTGCTTAGATGACTCCAGTTATCAGGAGATTCCTTCTCTGTTGCCTTGACCTCTGTCCCTTTGAAACACCAGTGTCATGGTTTTTCAGTTTCAGCCTCTGACACAATGACATGATAAGCTTCTTAGGGAAGAAGCTGTTACTATTCTAGTAACAGTCCTTCAAGTATTTGAGGAGAAAGACCATGTCTCCTTTTACTGTTTCCCTCAGTAATAAAGGTTGGTGGTACCCAGGGACTAGTATGACCGTATTTTACAAAACAGCCTGACTGAGCTCTTGCTACACAGGACTAATCTTTTTAAATGTATTTTTGTTAACAGATATTGATGAATGTACTCAGGTCCAACACCTCTGCTCCCAGGGACGCTGTGAAAACACTGAGGGAAGTTTCTTGTGTATTTGCCCAGCGGGATTTATGGCCAGTGAGGAGGGTACTAGCTGCATAGGTAATGGCAGTGTTCTTCCTCATGTACAGATCCTCAGACCTGGGGTTTGAGATCCCCTCAGGCCCCCAGCAGTCTAATGCTTTTTGAGACAACGCAGATTTTTTTAAATGAAATACCTGTCACAACATAGCAATCTGCTAGATACTGGGAGATATAAAAATGGATTTTTTTTCCTCCAACATTTTTTTTTTTTGAGACAGTCTCACTCTGTTGCCTGGGCTAGAGTGCTGTGACGTCATCATAGCTCACAGCAACTCCAAACTCTTGGGCTCAGGCGATCCTCCAGCCTCAGCCTCCCGAGTAGCTGAGACTCCAGGCATGCGCCACCGTGCCCGGCTAATTTTTTCTATATCTGTTTTCAGTTGTCCAGCTAATTTCTTTCTATTTTTAGTAGAGACGGGGTCTCGCTCTTGCTCAGGCTGGTCTCGAACTTCTGAGCTCAAGCGATCCTCCTGCCTCAGCCTCCCAGAGTGCTAGGATTACAGGCAAGAGCCACCGTGCCTGGCTCCGCCAACATTTTTGAAGGAAGAGTGTCGACTGTGTGATGCGTTAAATGTTACTTTTGGACTCCACAGGAATCAAAACTCAGTTTTTAAGTGTGTCAAATAAAGGGATGATAATAGAAATCAGTTACTTCATTATTAACTGTGAACTAAGCTGGGAGATGGGAGAAGACTAAAGGAATATTCTGGAAAACAACAACTTGACCGTGTTTTCTGCTCTGCGCAGATGTTGACGAGTGCCTGAGGCCGGACGTGTGTGGGGAAGGGCACTGCATCAACACGGAGGGGGCCTTCCGGTGCGAATACTGCGACAGCGGGTACCGCATGACCCGGGGAGGCCATTGCCAGGGTGAGTGTGCTGAGAGAGCAAGGGGACGGTGCCACCTGCAGGTGCTGAGCACATGTCTCTGTGACCTGCAGAGCAGGGTCCTGACCCCAGGGCTGGCAGGTACTTCACCTGGTTCTCGTTTCTTTCTACCACCCTGAGCGTGACACCAGCTCTTCCAGCTTTCTGGACACGCAGCCCATTTGCCTCCTTTCAGTGGCTCTGTCTTGATTATTTTCCATCTTCATGCTCTTATTATTTTTTACCTAATATCTGCCTATCCTGGTATTTGGAGTGAAATCACTTTAGAACAATTAATTGCATAGTATCTTAGTACAAACCCAGAATTAATTGCAGTGTCTGGATCATTCATCTGGGAACATGGTGCAGGTGTAACCAGTGTTGATTTTTTTTTTTTTTGACCTTTTCACATTGTTACATTCCTTCGTCTCAGCTGCTTTCTTTTACACGTGTCCTGGGACTTTCTTGCGGACTCCCTACAGAAGCGCTGTCTGACCAACTCTGGATCACATTCCAACTGTGCTAGATAACATTTCTTCATTATTGACCACAGCAGTGAATTTGTTTTCGTTATAAAAATGTTTTGAAAAATATTTTTAGCACGGTCAAAATTATTATCCATCTCATACTTCTGCTCATGCTTGTGTCTGAGTTACACGGGTTCATTTGGAAACCGCTGTGGTACTTTTTTGTAATTATTTTCACGGAGAAATACATTGAGCTTCTGCTGAAAACCTGCCATGGAAACATGAGGGTGAAGGAACAGGGGTCTCTGGGCGAGGGGACATGGACACAGTACTGGTTGCTTGGGGCTCCCTGTCTGGCTGGCTGGGGATCAGCCTGCTGTCCGACAGGCTGGGCTTCTCTGGAGGTCGGGAGGGGTGGACTCTGTTGGCACAGCCTGCTCTCAGCTGCCCCTTGGCGTCTGCATATTGGTTTTCTTCACAACTCTAATGACCCAGGGCTGCAGGGAGAGCTAATTAGACATTTTTTGGCAGCCTACAGTCACCTCTCCTGCTGGCCTCTTGCCTTGCCCCCTTGGGTTGTAATCTAGAGAGAAGTAGGAGTGTTTTGTTACCAGATTTCTGATTGGCTCACATCAGAATGGAGCCATGAACCCTCCCCCTATGTCCGAGGGGCTATGGGACAAGCACAGGTGCAGCGTCCTTACTCTCTTCTTCTAGGGGACTCCCCTCTGCTCTATGTAGAGAGGCAGCGTGGGAATGGGGGAGAACAAAGACTGTGCAATCAGCTCACGACCCTACACTGAGTTACTACCTGACCCGGAGCCAGTGACTCAGCACCTTTGAAACTTAGAGCATCACCAGCTTTCAGGGTTGTCATGAAAATAAATACATGTTGTAGTAGCTTATAGGATGCCCGTTACCTTGTTAGTTTTTAAGATGTTTTAGCTTTTTTAAACCTCCCTCATTCCTGACTCCTTTTCTGCTTGTGTAGATCTTCTCAGTACATCCGTAGTTGTATGAAGTTCTTAAAAGAGGGGTGGTTGTAGGCTGACAAGCATTTATGTGCGGTGCCCCTTAAAGAAGTCAAATACTGATCCTTCATTTCTGCAGATAGTCCCAGAATGGGGAGACCTTTAAGTAATAAGGATAAAAAGGAAGAGGAAAGACATTTGAAAATTATGTAATTAAATTAAAAGCTGATAGAGGAATATTCAGTAATATTGAATATAGGAAAAATATTTAGCAGAAATATTACCAGGGTTCCCTGAGTAAATAGTATATAGTTCTATCCCCACGAAAAGGCATGAAAAGAAGGAGCCAAGCAATGTGGCCGTGTTCTAATTTCATCATGGACCAGAACCAAAGGTCCCTGGGCTTCTGGCTCACTGAAGATTTTCTCAGCTGTCACTAACGAAGTTGCTTTCAAACAGCACCAGTCTCCAAGGAGTCTATTGTAGTTTACAGACATTATCTCATTCATCCTTACTTTATTCTGGTAAGGTATTATTAGGTTATTAAGTATGAAATGTCCGATTTCCTTAAGTATCTCTGACATGTCACTTTGACACTTCTCGTTTTATTTTTATGGTAAAGGTACATCCTCAATCTTGCAAACAGATGTGTTGGCTTGTGATTATCTTTCAAAAAAATTTTGGAGCAATTTTTGCAAAATTGTGGATAAGTTAAAAATCCTTGTTGTTTTTGAATGAGTTCCATCGTGGAACCAATGCAGCTCAGACAGCTCAAAATGCCAGCAAAGTGTTTGGGAAGGATGTGGCTAGTGAACGCACAGTACATGGATGGTTCGAGAAATTCCACTCTGGTAATTTTAATACTGAAAATGAGCCACATGGGTGACCTGAGACCAAGGTGGATGATGATGCACTGAATGCTGTAGTGAAAGTGAATCCATCTCAACCTACACATGAATTAGCAGCAAGGTTTGACGTTACTATTCCAACAATATTGGGCCATTTGAAACAAATCGGCAGGGTAAAGATGCTGGAGAGATGGGTTCTGTGTGAATTAAACAAGTGTGAGAAGAGAGAAGTCCTCTCAAAGCTTGCCTTTCTTTGTTGTCACAACATAAAGGTGAACCATTTCTACATCGTATTGTTATGTGTGATGAAAAATGGATATTTTTTTGACAATTGCAAGTGTTCGCCACAATGGTTGGATAAAGGTGAAGTGCCAAAACAAAGTCCAAAACTGAACATTCATAAAAAAAAAATGCTAATGGTGTCTGTTAGGTGGTCTAGCACTGGTATTATCCACTACAGCTTCATGAAACCTGATCAGTCTATTACAGCGGATGTCTACTGCAACCAATTAGAGGAAATTATGAGGATGCTTGGGATAAAGCAGCTGAGGTTGGTCAATAGAGACAGGCCAATCCTCTTGCAAGAGAACGCTTGACCACATCACACAAACAATGCTGCTCAAATACAGAGTCTGGATTTGGAAACTCTGTGTCATCTGCCCTATTCACCAGATCTTGCACCAATTGACTACTGCTTCTTCCAGGCTCTGGACCACTTCTTGCAAGGAAAAATATTGAATTCTCAACAAGTTGTGGAAAACGCCTTTTGTGATTTCATCACCACTCGCTCTCCAGGCTTCTTCACTGCCAACATGAGCAAGCTACCATTAAGATGGCAAAACTGTGTCAATAGTTTAGGCACATACTTTGATTAATTGTACTGCTTCTTGTTTGCGATATAATAAATGACACTTCTGATTCAAAATCGGACATTTTACATTTAATGATTTAATACAAGGCAGGTAGTTCCTAATTTATAGATGTGAGTGCAAAAGCAAACAGAAGTGAGAGCTGCTAGAAATTCAGGGATGTTAGCCTATTTTACTCAACATTGTACCTTATGTATTAGACCAGCCAGTCCCATTGACTGTCTTTGATTTAACAGTTGTATTTCTGTTTTAAAAAACAAAATCCCCTCCACAGGAGAATGTAATACTGTTTGGAAATGAAACTGGCAAGCACCATCTTTTTGTAGAACAAGAAGTCCCAGAACATCTGACCTAAAAAAACCATCGTGTGTCATTGTCTATTGGCAAGAACTTTTACTGATAGAAAAAAAAATTGCAACACTGACCTAATGCTTATTTTGTTAATATCATCCTCAACTTTTTCACTTTAAGCATCTTTTCACAGTTAATGAAATGGAATAGGAGATAATTTTTAAGAATTTACCAGAATGAAGACATTAAATACTCATGGGCATTTGGTGTACCCATTATATATTTCTTTCATTTTTATCTTGTCCTAAAAATCTGTTTATATTTTAAGTATGACTAAGGGTCCTGTATACATTTTGTATTGGGACACTTAGACATTAAATCCATTCATTTGAATTCAAAATCCACAACCAGAAAAACACTTATTTCAAGTAGGGCTAGTACCTAGGGTGTTACCACTCATTTTAAACTGTTGAATTCTCTCCTATATCTTACTTTTTCCCTGTTTTCTTGTTTTTATGAGTCTAAAAATGCCTGATGCTATTGTAGTAGTTATCTCTGCCACAACCCCAACCATATTTAAGGTGATATTTTTTTCTCTCCAAATCCAAAAGAATGGTGATTAATAACTTCAGTTAGCTATGAATGTGAAAAGGTGTGTTTTTACTGCAAAATATTTCCATATGATCATATCACTATGTTCTCTGGAAAATCTTGAAAGTATGTGATGAGTTACTCTCTCCTAATGTTCTTTCTCCACATCCAAGGAATTCCTATCATGTAAAGGGTTTTAAATTATTCAAACCTGGGATGTTCTTGGGTCCACAAAAGCCAAAGTAAGGATTTCCCTAGAGCGTCCAATGTCTGCAGAGACAGCCTCTAGTGAGGTGGACATACGGCTTCCTCATGCCCGTCCCCATTCCTGTATTTCTTTCTGGCAAGCTGTGCTCTTATTTGAAAGGTCTCATGTCCGAAAAGTGGCCCTAGAGGAGCTGCCAACTCCCTGGCCTGGCCCTGCCAGTTGAAGAATTGGGGCCAAGTTCTTCTTTAGAATGTATATGAATGTTTTAATGCAGGTAACCCGACCATGCATTACTGCTGTATGTTTACATATAGAAACAATGTCTCACCTCACCCCGTTACTGTTTTTCCCACTGAAATGTAGATATAACATGCTTCCCCTCCCCCACCTTACACGAAAGTAAGATTTCACTTTGGTATTCAGATAAAATGTTTATGACCTACCTTTTTGATTTTTCAGATATTGATGAATGTTTGACCCCAAGTACTTGTCCCGATGAGCAGTGTGTGAATTCTCCTGGATCTTACCAGTGTGTTCCCTGCACAGAAGGATTCCGAGGCTGGAATGGACAGTGCCTCGGTAGGTACTATAATGTTCTTATCAAAGATTTGTTTCTAATGCATGGCCTGTGTGTTAGTCAGGGTTCCCCAGAGGGACAGAACCAGTAGGAGACATGTGAATGAAAGGGAGTTTATTAGGGAGAATTGGCTCACACGGTTACAAAGGCAAAGTCCGACAGACGATAGGCCGTCTCCAAGCTGGGGCATGAGAAAAGCCAGTAGCATGGCTTAGTCCAAGTGTGAAAGTCTGAAAACAAGGGGAGCTGATGGTGAGCCCCTATTCTGAAGCCAAAGGCCTGAGAGCCTTCAGGAGGCCGCTGGTCAAGTCCTAGAGTCTCCAAAGGTAGAAGAACCTGGAGTCTGAAGTCTAAGGGAAGGAGGAGAAAAGGCATCCCAATCCAGGAGGGGGCAGAACAGAGCCAGGCTCTTTTTAACACCACTCTTCTTGGAACTAATGGAGCAAGAACTCGCTCATTACCATGAGGACAGCACCATTCATGCATGAGGGGTCCACCCCATGACCCAAACACCCCCAGTTAGGCCCCACCTCCAATATTGGGGATCAGATTTCAACATGACCTCTGAAGTTCTAAGTAACTTTTAACCATGGAGAAAATAAGAAAATGACTTGGCATGAAAGATGTGAGATTCTAGGTGGGGCAAATATTAATAATTATGATGGAGACTATCCCTAATGTGATAAATAACCAAAAGCAAATAGTAAGCGCTACAGAGAGGAGAAAGATGGATAGCAAAACACTGAAAAGAGAGAAGAGGCAGAAGGAGAAGCTATGCCAGACAGAATTAGGAATCAATCAATCTCTCTCTCTCTCTCTCTCTCTCTCTCTCTCTCTCTCTCTCTCTCTCTCTCTGCCTCTCTGCCTCTCTGCCTCTCCCTCTCACCAGAAGGCCTGAAGGTAGTGCTCTAGGCATTGAGGAAGATAAAGTGATAAATTTGCTTTGGTGCTAATTACCCGTGTTGCTCTTAGCTCTCCCCATTAATGGTTGTCCTTTGTGTTTCTGTCTACCATTTGATCTTTTTTTTTCTTAAAAGTTGAACTCTTTTCCACTTCCTTCCAGAACTCTATGTGAGTTAAACTTTTCATTCATTCATTCCTTCTTTCCTTTCTTCTCCAAATGCTTAGTAACTTACTGTCTGTATCTAGAGTTGCGCTAAGTTCTGGGATATACTTAGGGGCAAAAACAGACATGACCCCTTCCTCATGGCACTTTCTGTCAGGTGGGGAAACTGACATGCACCCAAACATCTCACAAATAAATGCAAACTCAGAAATGGCACTGGGAAGGAGGGCCGTGTGATGCTATGAGAGCATGTGGTAGACTGAGTTGCCCTTAAGAAAATTGAGTTGAGGTTTAACTGGGGGAAGGGGTGAGAAGGAGAACACATTTGGCAGAGGAAAGAGCATATGCAAGTTTGTGGAAAGAGGCGGCAGGCCATGTCGCTGAAAGACAGAGAACAAGGGAAGATTTGCTGCAAGACGAGGGGACAGACTATACAAGGCCCCCTTGGTCCTGTTAAAAATGTTGGTCTTTATCCTGACAGCTCTGGGAAGACATTCAGGGGTTTTAGTGGGGATGGCAGAAGCACTCCCAATGTTGAAGCTTTGTGCTTGTCACCAGGCAGCATCAGCGCAGCCTCTGTCACAGTGCAGGTGGCCTCATGTGCTGAGCCCCCAGCCTGTCCCCAAGAGCCTCTACCAATGGAGCTGTGAGTTGTAGATTTTTGAGGAAAAGAAGAAAAGATTTTTATTCATTAGTTATTTAATAAGCAATTGTTCATGTAATTGATGCTAATCAGGACATACATTTGGCTTTAATGTTCCTATTTGGCATAAATTTCATAGCTGCCTCTCAAGCTGTCATTTGTATTCTTATTTTCATGTACTGATACATAATCCAGGAGCAGAGCCTGAACTCTGCCTTCAATAGCTACATTTGCAATAGTAGCATAAATGCAGCCCTGATGCATGAATTTACTACTGGAATGTAACTGACCAAATTGCCAAGTGATTGCTCTCCAATGCAAATAATACTAAATGAGTTCTTATACCTATATGTGTGTGTGTGTCTGTGAGATATACATATATATATATATATATATATATAAACATTTTGCTTTAGTTTAGTGACAGAAACACAGCACGTCATTTAAAAATAGTTTAACTTTACCAACCAGATATGTAGAATCATAAGCAAAAATATTAGGTCACTCTTTTGCTCAGCTCAACTACAGCCACACATTCAGCCCTTGTTCCAAGCAATAGCTTTCATTTTTGCATTGCTGAGGTCATGTATTTCCTATTACTAAAAGTAGGCAGTGCACTCTTTCTTTCTGCTTTGGGTAGAATGTTAGGCTCTGCATAATCTACAGATCAAGCCATTCCCTTGTGATTTAATTGTGGTTCCATCCATTGTTCATATTGAATTTGTACCTCTTCTAAATTTCTCAGGAGAGCTTTTGCAGGTTATACTAAAATAGATTTTCCATCTTAATTTTTTATAGTACTCGAGCTTTCAAATGTTGAAAAGTTGACTGTGACAAAAAGCAGATATTGCAACATGCCTTTCTTCTCATATTGAGCCAATGGGTGGATTGGATTTTTCTGCTAGACTCTGACAGTGCTAATGAATGCTCAGTGCTAATTTTTTGTGCCTTTATACATTTTAGTCTCACCTTTGTACTTCTGGTACTCTAAAATACTTTTCAGAAGGTCCAGTTGTTACTTAAGTCTATTTTTGAGTTGAGCACATTGATAACACAACTCGATGTGTATTTATTCATTCCTTTAACAAATATATTGCATGCTTACCCCATACCGGGTATTTTTCCAGAACACTGGGAATTGAGAGTGAACAAAATAACGTCCCTCCCCTCATTTGTGCCTATAAATAAACAGGTAAACAAGTAAAATATGCGGTATGTCAGATGTGATGTGTGCCATGAAAAAGAAATAAAGAAAAAAGGAGTCTTTAGAGATTCCAGGATGGTCCAGTGGGAAGTTATTAATAAGCTGTTCCTTGCTAGTCATTTTTTTCCATCTGTAACAGTTATCTGTGACCAGTTTATGGCTTTTTATATCCTTTTAGTCCAGATAATGTAGAATATATTGATGAGTTCCCACCCCCCCATTTTTAGTTGAAAATTCTACATGGGAACATTAAAGACTTCTTGGAAATTTTCTGTAATCACATCATTTTGGAGAAAAGTCCTACATTTGGCATTTGTTAGTCGTCATCAAGTAGAGATGATAATCTTTCTGTCTCACAGGGCTGTTGTGTTCCATACATCTTAGTATCTTTTTTCTATAACTCTGCTTTTACTGACTGTATATTTTTATGTTGTTATAATTAAATTTATATAGTGTTTTACATAATATTGCTGAAACTTGGGTTTATACTTATGGCTTTTTAAAAAACTCATCTATCTTCATGTTGAGTGGACTCTTTTTTCTGTTAAATGACTTCACGAGAATTTCTATTTCAACCTGTATATTTTATAGGGATTTTATGCCAGTTATACTTTCTGCTTCTTTCACTGACTAAAGGATGAACTTGCTGAAACCATTTGTGGTCTCTTTGTATTCATACCGTGTAAGCTAGATCTTACTGATTGATACTTCTCCTTGATTTATGAATTAGAACAGAAATTTTTATGGGCAGCAACAGGTAAAATGTTAGCAGGTGTTGTCTAGAGGACTACACTTTTTCCTAGTGTTTAGTTCAGGGCATACAATCCTTTCTTCTCAGTAGTTTATTATCCATGTCAAGTAGCTATCATTTCAGACTCTACCTAACACACATCATCCCTTAATGCTTTTTGGCAACTCTTGTTGGCTCTCCTGCTAATGTAGCTTCTTCTTTCAAGTTGTGGATTTCGTTCTTCTCCCGAGAGCCACTTTCATCATTCAACACTGTATTCTTTGGACTGACATTCAGCCTGGAGTTGTCGCCCGCCTGATCCCCGCCTTTAATGACTGTTTCGTCACCCTGGGTTCTGGCCAGCTCCAACTGGCCGCTTCAACCAGGTCCTTTGCTAAGAGAAGCCAGCCTGTCAGGTACTCAATTTACAAGTTTTTCTTGACTTGTGGAGAGCTGGCCTGATTCAAACCTGATGAGAGCCATTCCCCCAAGGGAACTCTCTGGGGTTTAATTACTTAAAGATACATTTGGTATCTCTGATGTAGAGATCTTAGTTCCCTGAATTTAGAAAGACTTTGGGCTAAGTGACCTCTCTGAAGCTTAGTTCCATTATCTGTGGAGTGGGAATTGAAATACTGCTTTGTAGTGCCAGAATTAAATAAGCGACATAAAGCACTTAGTAAGGTGTCTGACACATGGTGGGACCCAATAAATGTTACAAACCTTCTTACTCCAACCATATGACCCTCCCTCTTACTACCCTTGTCCTGAAATATAAGCAATGCAGTAATAAGTGATACCTGTTGGAGTGAGTTATGTATCACATTTCTTTATATAACAATATTCTCTTTGGCTTTCTTTAAGTGTATGCCATATAGTTTTTGACTCTCCTTATGCTATAGGAACTTTCTCTTATGAATTTAAGTAATTTTGTGTTTTTTTTCCCAACTTCTTAGCATTTTTACTTAGCTGGAATATACTTCTTGGGAATCATGATACTTCCTCTGGGGTCATTAATGATTCCTAACAAATGGTCAGGCTTCTATAAAAATGCTGCTGTGTCCATTCTTTTGCTTCACTGTCTTTGCTTACCTTCACAAGGCAGAATATCACATCCATTGGATGTGTGCAGCCAGCTCTTCTGGGGTTCACTTTATTGTCTTGCTTTGTAGTTGAGTCCATGACAGACCATGTGACCTGGGAGCACAAATTTTATCAGAGTAGTCTTTCTTGGTTAGTCTCTAATTAAGTTAAGGATGACTTTCTGATTCCCATTTAAGCTTTCTAAATGCAATAGGTCTTAAGCATTGGAAGAACTTAATCAGTCAATGACGACTGATTAGCCACAGCCTTAACCAAAACCAGGCACAGAGAATTTTCAGGATGGATTTGTACCGAAAAGGTGGAGAGCTCATTGTTCTGGAAGTTCTTTTCACACTAGAATTTATTTTCAGATTTCAAGATTCAGTGTTAACCTTTATGGAATATATGAATATTCATAGACTAATCTGAAATTGAAGACTTTATATTACATTTATTTATTTTACATAAAATGGCAACTGAATACAACATGTGCCTTTTTCAGATTTTTATAAAATGTACAAACATCAGCCTTATCCCTAAATCATTATATTCTAAAGGAGTCTTCTAATTAGTCATTAAGCTATTTATTGAGCATTTAACTGTGTATCTGCCAGATGCCAGACAGGATTTGAAATTGTAAAAACAACAACCCCTGCCGCCCACTTTTTCAATAAATAACAGATGTTGGAAGGATATGGTGAAAGGGGAGCATTTATACACTGTTGATGGGAATGTAAATTAGTATGACCTCTATAGAGATCAATATGGAGAATTCTCAAAGAACTAAAAGTAGATCTGCCGTTCTATCCTTCAGTCCTACTGCTGGGTATCTACCCAAAGGAAAAGAAATCATGTAACAAAGATGCCTGTACTCATATGTTTATGGCAGCATAATTCAATCATAGTCATTAATCATATGGTAATGATTAATGATATGGAATCACCCTAAGTGTCCATCAACTGATGAATAGATAAAGAAAATGTGCTCTCTCTATAAATATATATATAGAGAGACACACATATATATGCATTCTATATGTATACATACATACGTGTGTGTGTATTCATTCCATGGAGTACTACTTAACTGTAAGAAAGAATGAAATAATGTCTTTTGCAGCAATTTGAATGGAATTAGAGACCATTATCCTAAGTGGAGGAACTCAGGAACAGAGAAACAAATGCTACACGTTCTTACTTAAAAGTGGGAGCTAAGCTATGACTATGTAAGGACACACAGTAGCATAATGGACACTGGAGACTTAAAAGGGGAGGGAGGGTGAGTGAAAGTGAGGAAGAAAAGCTACTTATTGGGTACAGTGTACACTATTCAAGGTGATAGGTACACTAAAAGCCCAGACTTCACCACTACACATTATATACATGTAATGGAAGTCAACTTGTACCCCCTAAATCTATTGAAATAAAAGAAAAAGAGAATAAAAAGAAAAAAATATAATAGGGCATCATTTAAAACTATTCACAAATGGTCCATAAATAGTAACAACTATGGAAATAAGATGAAAGGTGTAAGGGAGTGCTGTGCACTATTTTTGCATTTTTTTAAAAAACTGAAGCTATTTCAAAATAAAGGTTATTAAAAAAAAACACTTTTGAAGGCAGGGACCATCCTTGTGAGGGAAGACTATTATAACAAAAAACGTCTAGAACATTATATAGTTTACAAAGGACTTTGACTTGATCATTGCATTTGATCCTCAAGGCAATCATCCCTGAAGTACCGATGTGGAAATTGATTACCAAAGTAGTTAATGTACTTGCTCAAGGTCACAGGTAATAAATGTCAGAACTAGGACATGACTCCATGTCTTTTATCTCCAAATCTGGTGTTTTGTTCTGTACTATATCTCATTTACCCCTAATGTACCCATGAGAAAATTATACAAAGTAATATCATCAAGGCAATAAGGAAAATAAAAGTTCATTAAAAGGGGAAGTCCATGTGGGCTGGAATCATCCCTTGCAAACAGTAATAACAATGGCTTAAGGGTTCTAGAGTTTGAGAGGGTAGGTCTGCACCATTGGTAGCTGTAACTGAGCTTTGCCGAAAGACAAAATGTTCCTTTGGAAAGGTGAGGTGGGAAGCCAGTCATTTGGTGGGATTAGTGGATTGATTTTCTGAGATCAGTCTTGGCACTTTATGTAGGACGTACACAGCCTTGGTGCTTCTCCAGTTCTGAAAAACAGTGATGATTCTTTGAGGATTATGTGACAAATTTTTGTCATCAGCTCTGCTACCACATATTTTAACTTCATCAGAACTGACGCGGCATGAGATCCCAAGGATTTGCTACACTCAAGTGCAGTTGAGGCTGTTTCATCACACTGGCTGGGCTAGCATCTGTCTCTCATTTTGCCGTGATTGCTTTTCTGTCAAGTATGTTTACCCGTCATCTTTAGTATAAAAGATTATGGTGGAAAGAATAGTTGAGGAACCATTGAAGGAAGGGCACCTTTGGGGTAGGAGGTAATGCTGTGTTTTCATGTGGCTGTAGTACTAGAATAAGATTCTATCTCAGATGGTACTCACTCATTAAAGTCTGTGTTGGTTACTAAGGAATTAAATGAGTTTGGATGGCCTCAGAGAAATGATTGGTTTACCATGTTGCGTTGACATATTCATCTCCTCGAAATTACAGGAAGTAATTCAGGTAAATTGTTGTTCTGGGACAAATTCTGGCCAACCCCAGGGAGCTAATAGGTGAAGTGTCGGGGGCACAACCTTGGGAGAACATGACTGGGGATATCAATCCCCAAATACCCTCTGTAGCTGATGCCCAACAGGGAGGGGCTTGAGGCAGTTTGGCCAGCTAGTTGCATGGATCTGCAGTGAAAGAGAAAAAGCTAATGATACAATGCACGATTTGTTTTGCTCCATTGCATCCATCAAGTGTTTTTATGTGTGACCGCTCTCTAGACACCTTCCTCCTTGTAGAGATCCCTTAGCGATATTTTACTGTGCATTTTTCTCAAGAGCATAATCTCCTTAAGAATCTCCATGTACTCATTCAATTCAAACTATTCTGTCAACGTGTAAGTGATTGGCTTAACAGGATTCTGGTTCCATGCAATTACGTCTGTAATAAGTAAAGAAAAGAATAAACACATCACGCTACCCTAGATATCGCAAGGCATTCTGCTTCATCATTAATCACAGGAGTTGCCTAGAAAAAAATACAAGTTTTATACATATCTCGTGAATGATAATCTGCAACGTCTGTTGATTTACTTTACCTAGAGAAAATATGGTCTTAGAAATTGATTTTGCTGTTACATTCTGTGGCCCTATAAATCACTTTTCCTGGTGCATGAATAATTAAAGAGAGCGATCCATACATTTCTGAACTTGTTAACATTTTTGAAACCAAACCAGATACTAGACATGACATTTTCCTGTTGCTGTCTGGAATTTCCATGCCTAGTGTCTAGGCTCATTCTGTTCCATTATTTACTTTGGCTTCAATCCTTGGCTGCTGCTTTCAAGTTGTTTGCCTTCAGTGTTTACAAAAGTGGATTCCCACAACCAAAGAGGGTAATGAGTCAGTCTGGAAGTGCTATTTTGGTTGTAGGGTCAGTTTGCCATAATTAGTGATATTTTATGAAAGCAACATAGAGTACCTAGGCAGTGCCAATTCCTTGGCTCTTCTCAATATGCATGTGGAACACACACATGTGCACACACATGGGCACCCCTTTGCCATGTTTTACTACAGATGTATTTCTGCATTCCATTATAAGAAAGATAGAATACAGTTTTATGAAATGCAATGCAAACTAATGCAATCTGAGCTCTGGAATGCTGAATTAAGATTAGATTTGCATTGTAAGTGTGCTTTACAATGCTCTAGCATGGTGGAAAGCTTGCTTTCTTTTGTGATGTGGTAAGCTTTGCAAAATGAAATGGGTGCAGTCAAGAGCCTTTTCCTCCTTACTGTTTGTCAGCCTTTTGATTAAGATGCCTTGATTAAGTTACAGACTGCTGTAAGATTAAACCTAAATCATGTTATTGTGTGTTTTGTTTTAGCATTTTGTGATTTAAGTTTTTCCTCTCTAAGTTTTTGGTTATTGATGCTCCACTACTGTCTATCACCATGCCATACAATGGACTTACCCAGGGGCTTTCAGTTGGGGCACAGAACTTAAATTTTTGTTTTTGAATGACAGTATTTCAGTAGGAACTTAATAAATGTTTGTTGAATGAAATCTGAAAACTTAGATGATTATTTTCTATATAAATACTATGTTAGCAAATAACAAAAACAAATAGAAACTCATATATTCTCTTTAACAGTTTCTATCACTAAACTTTGCCTGTAACAGAAACTTACAGTTGGGTTAAAAGGACGGACTTTGAGTTCAAATCTCATAACCACCATTTTCTATTAATAACTATGTGGCCTTGGACAAGTTAGTGAACTTCTCTAAGTTTTAGTTCTTCTATAAAATGGTTGTACCATATGGATTTTGTCAGAATTAAATGAGGTAATATATGGAAAGCCTTTAATGCTTACATGCAGTAAGTGCTTGATAAAGATTAGATGATATCATCATCATCATCATCATCATCATCATCATCCCATCTGCTCCTTCAGCCTGTACTCTACCTTCAAACTGCCCAGTAGGCTTATGTTTATCCCCTCATTTGCTTTTTATCCTATGGATTCACCGCCATCTTAGGGTGTTTTCATAGAAGTTTTTTTACCTTTCTGTTGAAACTTTCATGTGGTTTCTCTGGGTCATGAGTCATATCTTTTGCTTCTGGGAACCTTCCCATCCTCCTGAACTCATCAGTTTCCTAAATAGACCTCATCCCATCTTTGATTCTTTGGAAAATTTTATTTTGTAGGGAATGTTGCTCTAAAACTACCCTCTCTTCCTCCCTGTCCCCTGCAGTAAGCCTTCCAGCCTTCTTGAGTTTGTTCAGAGGACATATTTGGTTCCTTTCTGAGTTACTTTCAGACAGGAAGTTAAGGCATAGAACCATGAGCCATGCAGCTCGCATTAGAGCTGTTTTCCTCCTAAGGGCTAATTTGAAAGTTTATCTTCAAGAATCTGCCTTGTCTTCTGAAAGTCTACTGTTTCCATTTCTAACCAAATTTAACTCTATTCGTGTTTTCTTTTTCTTCTTCTTTTTTTTTTTTTTGTTCTTTCCATTACGCAACATTCTTCAAGATGTGGATGAGTGCCTGGAACCAAACGTCTGCACAAATGGTACTTGTTCCAACCTTGAAGGCTCCTACATGTGTTCATGCCACAAGGGCTATAACCCGACTCCAGACCACAAGCACTGTAAAGGTAAATACTGTGATCAAATTTCCCATTTTTATTTGAACTTCATTTAAGAATAGATTAGAGTATCTGGCCTTGGAAAAGGGAACCACACTACCTGCATTGATTTTTACTGAGCTGCTTGGAGCACATTTTGGTTGGCGTCCCTGCGAGTGGCTCCTCATTGTGGTTAAACACAGAGCGTATCTATTTACATAAAGGAAAACAATGTATTTTTAGAGAGTTTCTGTAAACCACACATCTATTTATTTAAAGTCTTTTTTCTGGTTATAAAAGCAATACACGCAGTTGCACAACTCTATGAATATATTAAAATCCATTGAATTGTTATTTAAATAGAAGAATTGCATAGCATGTGAATTATATCTCAGTAAAATTGCTGTTAAAGAAAACAACATACACTTGTAGAAAATTTAACAAATATAGAAAGATAAAAAGAAGCAGCAACAATGTCTTATTATCTCATTCATGGCTATTCATATCTCATGGATATTGTATATTATGAACATTATTTCTATGTACAATTTTGTCTCCTACTTTTTATCATTTAATGGTATGTAATCATTTTACATTCCATTAGTAACCCTTTAAAAATGTTTTTAAAGGCTTCATAATATTCTAGTGTATTCCATACCACAATTTTCTTGCTGTTCTTTAGGTGATGAGCAGTTTTTTTTCTGACTTGTCATAATTATGTGAAAAAAACTGTAACAGACCTCTTTTTTTAAATAAGCTTTTGTCTTAATTTTAGCATTATTTCTTTATGTATAAAAGGGGAATTAGTGGGTAAAATGTTCTGAATATTTTTTACTATTTTGTTTTTTGCTTTTTAAAAATGTATGTATAATAATTATATTTATCAGGTACATAGTGATGTTTTGATACATATAATGTATAGTGATCTATTTATTCTTCTGACAGGAAACCACTAATTTTTAATTTTCAAATATGTATTGCATTTAAAATTCTAAGAGGTTTTAATATTTTATATATTCATTCCTTTTAGTAATTACCTGAACACTTCTAATTATTAAAATTGTTTATACATTTATTAAACATACATTTCTTTTTTTGTAAATTTCTGTTCATATTTTTCCCATTTATCAGGTTTTTCATTTTTAAAATCAATGTATATAAACTGTTTATATATAATATACATATAAACCTATGTACATGTGTGTGTATATATATTACATATATTTTTTTGTAGGTATAGTGTTGGAATTTGTCCAAGGTTTCCCTAATTTTTCTTTTTAAGATTCTTTGTTCTTAAAGTTTTAATTTTTTTTCTTATGGTCAAATCTGTACATTGTTTCTTTTCTGCTCACTCCCACGACTTTTATACCTATAAGTATGTTCTGTCAAAGGGGAAAAGAGGGAATAAGTAAGATTTTTCTTCTCTCTTAAGTAAGTGTCTCAATATTAGCAAAGACTCTAGGGTGACAATTAATTTTTCACCATGGTAGGTGGGCAGTAGGTGAATACTCTCGTGTCCTGTAGATATTGAAGCCTCTTCCACTGGCGGTAGGGAATTTGCAGGCATCTGAATTTGGTGCCTTGCTCCTTTTATACAACAGAATACCAGCCATACATGTGGCTGGTACATCTCCATTTTCTCCTAATTCTTTCTCTTTTGGCCACATCCACAACTTTCCTACTGACTTTTTAAACTGGGTACCTCCTCAGACCAACTAGACATGAGAATCATCTGAAAGGTATCATTTCTTCCTCCATGCACTGGGTTCATGCTAGATGAGGCTCTCAAGCCTTGCAAGTCATTGTTAATCTTTACTTTATTGCTATGTTTAGTTTATTTCCATATGCTGTCATTTGGTCTTCTTTCTTTCCAATCTTCCTGGTCCTTTTCATCTGTTTATAGCTGAAAACTCTTGTACTATGTCCTCATCCTTCATATTCCAAACTGATTGGTCATGATTATATTCTTCAACTTGCATTCTCTGACTCATCCAAATTGATCTCACAACTGCCCCGTGAATATTCTGTGCTTATTTGTTCCCAAGCACTTGCTCAGGTTTATCCCATCTTCTTCCTCACTGCTTATTGGTATGATTCTTCTAGTGGCTCACTGTACAACCTTAGGTGGACGATCTCAGATTTCCAGACATCTTGTCATCCCTGAAATTAGGGGATTGGACTCTCTAAAGGGATGCTGCTGAAAGTAGACACATATTGAGTGAGACACTCTCTTGTTCTTGATCATTGTCATCCCAGCTGAGCCTGCCCCTCTCTGAGAGGTCTCCCTAGATCCCAGAATTCACACCATCACCATCGATTGATGGCACCCTAGGAATACTCATTTCCGGTCACTTGTGGCACTCTGCCAGGCTGCTGCAGAAGCTGTTCTTCCTTCCTTCCTTCCTTTCCTTTCACATGTATAAGGGAAACAACATGTGGCAGGCACTGTGCTTAAAGGAAGATGTTACTGAGAGGCTACATTCTCTCAAAGAACTTTGACTCATTAGAAGAGATTCAAATCTGCAACAGATAATTATGGGTAACAAAACACATTAAAAGGCAGGATAGCTGGGCATAGTGGCTCAAGCCTGTGATCGTAGCACTCTGGGAGGCCGAGGCAGAAGGATCACTTTAGGTCAGGAGTTAGAGACCAGCCTGAACAAGAACAAGACCCTGTCTGTACAAAAAACAGAAAATTAGCTGGGCATGGTGGCATGCGCCTCTAGTCCCAGCTATTCTAGAGGCTGAGACAGGAGGATCACTTAAGCCCAAGAGTTTCACTTATAGTGAGCTATGATGATGCTATTGTACTGTAGCCTGGGTGACAGAGTGAGACTCTGTCAAAAAAAAAAAAAAAGAATAAAGGCAGTATAGCTGTCTTAACCAACTAATGAAGGCTGACATCATCATTGATGTCATGTGAATATCATGTACACCTGACATAGTGTCATGACTAAAGCACTTCATCTCTGTGCCCTTCTTTTCAAAAACCCATAATCCTAGTCTAATTATGACAAAAACATAAGGCAAATACATACTGGGGACATTCTACAGGATTCTGGCCTGTACTCCTTAAGACAGATGAGGTCATGAAAAACAAGGAAAGACTGGGGAGACAAGACAACTAAATGCAGTGTAGTACCCTGGAATGGATCCTGAATCACAAAGATGACATGATTGGAAAAACTCTTGAAATCCAGCAAAGTCTAGAGTTCAGTTGTTTTTTAAAAAAGACAGTATAGCAGATCCCACCTCTGACACTTAGAGGCTGTGTGGGATTGGATAAGTTACAGTTTCTTTCTTCGCTAAGCCTTGCTTTTCTCATCTGCAAAAAAGGGAACAACAATGGCACCTACTTGAGTTGATGTGAGGATGGCAAGAGATAATACAGGGACAGATGGTGCAGGGAGAATGAGCTAATGCAGGGGCAGAGCAGGACGTGCTGGTGATGGTGGTGTTTGCTAAATGAGAGGCATAAACGAAGTTGTTATAGCGCAGAGTATGTGACTAATTCTGCTTGTGTGCTTCTGGGAAAGCTTCACAGAGGTGTAGCTGTTTGAACTTGGGTCTTAAAATATTGCATACAAAAGGGAGAAAAACTTGGCAGGCAAAGGAAACAGCACATGCCAAAGCTGAAAGGTGGGAATGGGCTTCTTGCCTCAATTTGGCATTTAACTTTGCCCTCTCCCCTGATTCCAATGCTGTCTCCCCATTACCGTCTTCTGCTTTGTAAACCTACATATGCACTAATTGTTCTCCTTACTCCCCTGCCAAAGCCTTTCTTTTCTACAATGATAGCATCATTTTCTTTAACCATCTCATAATCTTTTCCCAAACCACATCAGGTCATGGCTGTCAAACTTACCCCAGATTATGAATCTGTCCTTTTTCCAATATCCCAGCAATTCTGACAATCTGGCCTTGTTGATAGTCCTAAATATTGACTTCATCTTTATCTCACTAAATAGGCTGACAACTTTCTTCAGGTTGTAAGTACGTGAGCTGAGGTATTAATTTGTTACTTGTTTCTCTTGACCTTATTGTATCTGTGCGTTTTAGGATTGTATGTCCTAAATTTATAAATACCTCGACATACTCTCTATTTTAATTCTAGACTTGTCAAATAGTATGTGCAAAAATTCCCTTAAATCAATACCTTTCATGGGGAATGATGTTTTCTATTTATCTCTTGGCACAAAAAAAGAGAAGACATTTGTCCTGCATGCCTATTTTATTAGAAAGCTTTCTTTTGTCTCAGGAATTTTGTCCCTCATCAGAAAAGAAAAATATTTTTATCTCTAGAATTACATTGCCTTTGTTCCCTTTGATCACTTAAAAGACCCAAAGATCACCTTGTTCAAGATAACCGTTGTCTCAAGTTATTCCAAGCGTATGTGTCATGACTTGTAATGAATTACTTCTGACAGTCTAAGCAACATAAATGAGCAACTTATGTAATATGTCTGGCATACCCTGACAGTACTTGGAATGGAGAGTATATCCCTGCTGCAGACATCTTCACATGGGAATGCTTAATTTGTCCTGTTCTAGGAGAAAGTCAAAAGGAGTCCAGTGCACTAAAAATGTTGTCAGACATTATGGGAGATCCAGCCAGCTACAAGAGCTATTGTTGGTCTTACGTTTGTGAACTGACATCTCAAGTATTTTATAGAATGTGCTGAAGGAAAAATATGATATAGGCTGATCTTTGCTGCCAGCGACTCCTAAAGCTAATAGAGTGTTGGAAAGGTGTTAAAGTAACTTATAAAATGAAATTCATTTAATTTCTCTGTGGACAGTCAATAATTGGCAACCAGGAATTATTTACAAAGAAAAGAAACCAATAACACAATTGATGAAACAAAAGTTTGTAGTCAACTAGAGTAATTACTATGAAAAATTAAACAAATTCTTGAACTCCAATTACATATAATTTGTGTGAGCAATTTCAGGAAACATAGGATAATCTGACACCTTGCTTGTAGCAGGATAAAATTCAAAAGGCTAGTGCCTCATTAGAAGTTAAGAAATGCAACTTTGCTTGGGAAATAGGTAATTGTCAATAATACTTAAGGGAAAGAGCCATACAGTTAATTGCATTTTCCTGGCAAAAACTTTTAGATGCATTTTAAATAATATATTTTTAGAGGAAAACAACAATCTATCATGCATTTATCTTCGGGACATGGTTTCTTTAAAACAAATCCTGCTATTTTCTTTATTACTCCATTTAGATGAGGGCGCCTTTCTTCCAAGTATAGGATTGAGTATACTCAACCTATAGGTTTTGCATCTGTTCCCTTACAACAAACCTGTGGTGTAGATGGTGAAGATCAATCGTACCATGTTTTAATAAACATAAACTCTTATAAACTTACTAGCTATTCGGCAAAACATGCTAAGGAAGATCTATACAGACAAGGCAAGACAGAATTATCTATAGGTCAAACCAACATAATAGCCAAACAAAAACATTTGGAAAACTAACACTACTTCTACCAGAAGTGTTCAAGTTATTAATGAAGCTATTCTTTCATTTTAGTTGTGTAACTTTGTTTACATGACATTTTCTTGAACCCTCATTAAGAATTATAATTCTTTCTCAATCGGTAGCTTTATCTTCAGTCAAGACATTTTTTGAAATCCTCACTTATCGCTTTCTCCTTTGGTATTCCAGCAGTCATAATAATGTTACCATTTTTCTTGACTTTCCTAATTTTTTTGCAAATGAGCTCAGTGTTCTTTAATGCAACTGTTTGACCCAGTAGTTCAACTTCTTCTAAATAAAGTAGAAATGTCTGTGTCCTTCCAGAACTGCCTCTGTTTTGATTTTGTTTTTCAAATTCCTGGTAGAGTTTTACTTCTGCCTTGGTTCATGCAACTCTACAGGTCGACAAACTGGTAGCCATTATTCTGTGCTTCAGCTTTTGCCTTTTGTTTTCAACTCTGAAATATTTCACATTGTTTTTCTGCTCTATCCAAAATATGAGAGAGAGATAACAAGAAGCTTGAAGTTATAAGTAGCTCATACTTATAAATTTGTGGTGTATTTGTAATTATTTCTGTACTGCATATAAGCATCCTGAGGTTGATACAAGAAAGGTTGGTGGATTGATACATACTGAAGTTCATAGTACCTCCGCAAGAAGCGAAGCGCTATTATTTTTGTAACAATAACCCCTAAGTACATTACCGGGAGCACTGCATTGTCCTAGGTAATCTCTTTTTGAAAACAATTGTCATTGTTGTGTTTGCAGATATTGATGAATGTCAGCAGGGGAAGCTGTGCATAAATGGGCAGTGCAAAAATACCGAGGGCTCCTTCAGGTGCACCTGTGGGCAGGGGTACCAGCTGTCGGCAGCTAAAGACCAGTGTGAAGGTAAGAGTGTGGCAACATGACTACTGAGATTTCATCTTAAAGTGCCTGGTCGGAAAAGATACTCATTCAATTGAGTGTGCCTTTTAGAAATTACCTGGGTGATTGCTTTACAGTGCCAGAAAGCCAGGGATTTAAGTATATGTTAGGGAAGCCAATAAAACAAGAAGGAAGGAGAGTTAAATTTGAAAATATGGCAGTAGTGATCAGTTGCTAGGCATTAATATTAGGAAGAAAAATTATTGCTCTCTGTATAATTCTTTAGTATAGAAAGTAATTTCCATTTAAACATTTAAATTCATTTAAAGATGTTACATACTGGCATGTCAGGAATTAGAAGGCCATTATATTGGGCTGGTATTATGTTATGGAATGTTAATAAACTTGGTTTTTGTGTCTATTTAGCTTTAGAAAATTTTTGCCTTTTAAAAAAATCATTAAAGAAGACTTTTCAGTAAAACTGAAACAGTGTACTCCTTATACTAAGAAATAAAGTTTGCAAAATTTGTCCTATTCTTACAGGTAACAGGATTCTGGACTTGCTAGGGTTGACCTTAGACTTTTTAAAGAAATATTTCACTGACATCACACAGAAATACTTTACTTCCCAATAAGGATATGCTTCCTGACCTTGAAGATACCTGATATCAGCTGTGACAAGCACAAGTGTCCAGAGTTCTTGAAAGGAAACATCATTTCTTATTTAAGAATAGAATCCACACTATATAAGACTAATAATTTTATCATAAGGAAACAAATAATATCCATATCTATGTGTACATTTTGAATGCTTAATAAGCAAAAAAAATCCGAGATAATGTTATAAAAGTGATAGTATATGATGGTAATTACAAAGACATCTATAAACATTATCATAACATTCCCTACATATCCCTTTCTAGAATGTTACAATACCTAATCTAGAAGTGGAGAATGATAAACACATATAAGCACATGCTTATATACAGATCAATTACACAACTTTTTCTAGATGTTATGAGGGGACTCAAAGCTTTTGTACTTCATTTTATGACTCCTAACTCCAGTCACCAAGCATTTAATGAATACCTGCTATGCATAAAAAATACAAATGAATGGATAGTAAGATGTCTACATAGGATACAAGAAGGTTGCTTTATTCAAAGTCCTTTGCTTTGAAAAGCTTTTGGTACTGTTATCAAAGATAATCACATACATCCAGAACCACCTACTGGATGATCAGTTCAGAAAAAACCATGTCAGATGTTGAAAACTATGATAGCCAAACTGATGCTATGGTGAGAGTGGGGGAGAGTAATGGAACAGGGTCCCTGTGGGAACTGATAGGCGTGTTAAATCTTATAGAATCCCATTGACAATAGGCGAATGCTCTCAACCATTGTAAAGAATGTCCATCAAAAGAACAACATGAATTGAATGCCTACTCATTGTAAAATGCTAGGTCATCTAAGGAGTAATAAAGATTTAGTTGTCATAGTCCCTGCCTTCAGGAAAGTTAAAATCCAATCATGAAGGTAAAATAATTAAATGCATGCAGTATATCATGTGCTGCCTATATGTAGATATCATACATGCCTGTTTGTGAGCCTGAACTCAGGATTATAGGTACAGAACAATCTGTAGGGAGGCAGAAGGAGAGGGTTAGCAAACCTTTTCTGTAAACGGCCAGATAATAAATGGATATGTTTTCCAACAAAACATTATACACAATAATCAGCAGTAGGGTAGGTTTGGCCTGTGATCTATAGTTTGCTGACCCTTTGGCTTAAGTGCTTTTAAATTCAGTGTTGTAGTTGAAGTTATAAAAGAAATCCAAGATGGTTAGATTGGTTGGGTTTACAGATTACAACAAAGTATTTGCCACTTATCAGTGAACAGTGGGGTTAATATGTTCTAGCCCATTGGTTAAATGTTTAAGTTTACCTGGATTTTCCCTACTGGGGAATTACCTTTTCATAGAGGTCTGTTTAAGTCACATGATGAAAATGCAAAATCAATTGTAAGCCAGATAGGTTATAGACCTCCTTTATCTGAATGATCGAAAATCTCTGTGAAGCACTGCTTCTACCGTTTCTGTGTACTTCTTTGCCCGTAGATATTGATGAATGCCAGCACCGTCACCTCTGCACTCACGGGCAGTGCAGGAACACAGAGGGCTCTTTCCAGTGCGTGTGTGACCAGGGTTACAGAGCGTCCGCACTTAGAGACTACTGTGAAGGTAAGAATTGCACCTGCTTTTGCAATCATAAAATGCCAGGATCAGAGGGAAATCTGAACATCATCTTAGCCTCTGTCCTTGAGCCCAACCTGATGACTTCACAGTGAGAATATTATATCCCTGCAAAGTATTTTTCCCATAGTCACACAAATAATGCCAAGAAGGGAAGTAGAATCCAGGCTTTCTTTGCACTGATTGGAGCTGTCTTTTAGAACTGTGTCAGCCAGAGGTGTAAAGAATTAGTTTTACTTTACCAGCTATAGACGGTTTATCCTGGATGCATAATTCTGAACCATAACACCTAATTTATGCAGGACCAACTTCCAAATGTTCCAAATAAGTAAATACAGCTTAACTTTCCAGACAACTAGAAGGTTTTGAAGAGCCAAACTTTAACTCAATTTTGAGCTTTTTGCATAAAATGTTTCTAAAAGGTACTGCACATGTAGAGCACTGTGCATCGTTAACCACTTCCACTCCTCGCCATGGCTGAGGACCTGCCTGCAGTCCTGTGTACGGAGAGGGGAATGTTTCCTCCCAGCGTGCTGCTTTCTTCCTTTTGCCACCAGCCTGTCACTTGTGAACTCTCTGTGTCCAGTGTCCACCCAAGCAATAAGTTTCAGTTCACCCCTTTTTCTGCATTTAGAGCCTATCAGTTGTAAAAACAGAAATGTGAGCATTTGGCAGTTGCACCTCACATGCACAGTTTTTGAGGGAGGGTCTGAATCCCACCTTTGGGAGAAGTAGGTGAGCTTTTTAGGGAATGGTTTTGTGGTGCGTATTTCAATGGTCTCAAATCCTTTTTCATTCCCAGTCCAGTTGGTTGGAAAGATCCACTGTAGTTTATAGCATTCTGCATTTCTGACCAGACAACTTGGCACAGCAGGTATAAAGTGGCTGAGTAGCCATACCTGCTGCCGCCGGGAATGTGAAATGACCCAGCTCTTCTGGAGGGCAAGTGTGGCAGAGTTTCAAAGGTCTTAAAATATATAGAGTTTATGAATCCATAAATCAACTTCGGGGATTTTATCCTAAGGTGATAATGTTCCTCAAAGGGTTAATAACACCAGTGAAAAGTTGTAATCAATATACCTGTTGAAAAATAGGCAAATGGTCAGGTAAGTGATAAATCAATTTAGTAAGATATGATTATGTCTGAAAAAGTATGTTTGGGGAACTCTAAAGTATGAGTAAACGTTAATCATTTGGCGCAGTGGCATTCTGAAGTGGAAGGGGCAGTCGTGTTGGGGAGAACCAGTCGTGGAAGAATCTATTCTAGAACTAAGTAGGTGGTAACGTATATGGTAGGGAGCTGAAAACCTAAACTGACCATCTGCATCTCTTCTGCCCTGATTCCCAGGCAAGCCAAGAAGATAACCAGTCCATTGATTAAATCATCAGAGGGTCGTTCATATTCATCAGAGGGTGTGTTTTTCTGGTTTGGCTGTTTTAATGTGTAACCACCTTAAGAGAAGTGTAAGGTTTTTATTCTAAAAGTATCCATTACATGAAAAGTCAAACAAAAACTTTTTAGCCAACTTGTTCTTCATTGCTAATGTATATGTTTCTAAGATACAATTAAGTTCCATAAGAAAGCTTCTTTTGGAATATGTAATCAGGCCTCTTTCTCTTAAAGTCAGGACCAATTTCCCTCGTGTTCTGGGTTATAAATAGGACTGGAGTCCGTCCAACTGATTCAGAGCTCCTTTTGAAACTATGTTAGCACTTCAGCCTGCTAATTCCCAGCTAGTTCTGTTTCTGACACTCCCCGGTGGTATTTAGCCACAATTAACGGAGCTGTAGCTGTTCACGTGCCGCTCACAGCTGCGGGAGGAAGAGCCATCTTTCTTGTTGGCTTTCATGTTTACATGTGTAATTTTCCTCTAATAACTCTGGCAAAGACCTTGTTTTCTTATAGCATTATGCTGTAATCCTCCTGGCCTCTGCGTAGAGTCAGAATCCTAAGTGGTGTGTTCTTCTCTGTGGGCCGCTTACTGCTTCCTGCATGTTCAGTAACCCTCAGTGATGAGCGGGGGGGCCTCATTTGTCCTGGTTCTTAGAGGTCTCGGGCGTCTCAGCCTTCAGAGGCTCTGCCTCTGCCTCGTTCCCTCCCAGGCACAATCTTTAATCCCGTGTCTACCTTAACCTGTCCTCAGCCCCTCACTGAGGTCGCTCCCTGCAAGTCCCTTACAAAGCCTGAGAAGACAACTCATTACTTACTCTGTCTTCCCTTAGCCCTTCATTCTCGGTCATTTCTTTGTGGACAACATCAGAAAAGGTGGGGAGACGTGATCGTATTCCTGTCCTTGTGATATTTCTTTCCAAGTTGGAGTCATTCATTTATTCACTTGTCTATTTGTTCAAATATTTATTTAGTGCCAGGCACTGTTCTAGGCACAGTGCATACAGCAATAAACCGAACAGAAGTTCCTGCCCTTGTGGAGCTTACATTCTAGTGAGGGAGATAACAATAAACATGCTGAATAAGCATAATATATAGTTTGTTAAGTGGCAATAAATGTTAACAGAGAAAAATAAAGTGTGGTAGATGAGGAATGCTGAGGGAGGGTGTTGATTTTAAATGAGGAGACAAGTAGAGGCTTTCCTGAGACAATGACATTTGATTATTTATAGGAAGAGCATTCCATTCAAAGGAATGGCAGATGCAAAGGGGGCAGGCTTTGTAGAAGAGGTGAGGAGTTCCACATGGGCACTTTCAGCTTTTGATGCCTAAAATGACCATTCAAGGGGAGATATCTGAAAGGCAGTTGCACCCTTGCATTTGGAATTCAGGGGTGAGATCTGGACAGGGAGCCCTCAGTACATAGATAGTGTTTAACTCCATGAAATTGGATCACCAAAGGAGTGATTATGGTTAGAAAAGCAGGGCCCAGGGCCCTCCAAGATTTGGAAGTAAGGAAATAAGAAGGAACCAGCAAAGGGGATTGAGGGGAGAGTGGCAAGTGAAGAAGGAGGAGAACCAGAATCCCAGAGAAGAAAGCGCTTCACGGAGGAGGGAGTGATGAACCGTGTCAAACAGTGATGGTTGGTAAGAGGAGGACCAGAAATTAACCACGGGAGTCGTAGTAAGATAGGGGTCTTTGGTGACCTTGGCAAGCTTAGTCTCGGTAAAGAAGGACCAGGATTCACCCTTGTTTTCCTTAAAAGCCTGTGTCCTAAATCCTAGGAGGAATCTGTCTTTTCATATCACCCCATGTGGTGGTGCAGAATAATCTCTTGTTGGGCTCTCGTAATGTTTAACCTACTCTTTTTTGCTCCGAAAGTTATGATAAAGATCTTTTTGTGTCTTCTAAAAAATGCTTAAGTGTAAAAAAAAAAAATGGAATAAGATTTTTAAAAAATTAAATAAAAAGATCATTCAAAAAATTTTTAAACTAAACCTGACTGTAACATAAAGCACAGAGTTTTTAAATGTATATAATTATTTATAAACACTTTATGTGTTTTTCCCTCACATTCATCATTTCTCTTAGATATTGGAAAATGAATGAAAATCACATTACTTTTTTGGGGGACAGAGTCTTGCTTGGTCACCCCAGGTAGAGTGCAGTGGCATCATAGCTCACTGCAACTTCAAACTCCTGGGTTCAAGCTATCCTCGTGCTTTAGCCTCCCAAGTAGCTGGGACTACAGGTGTGCACCACTACGCCCAGCAAATTTTCTATTTTTAGTAGAGATGGAGTCTTGCTTTTGCTCAGGCTGGTCTCGAACTCCTGAGCTCAAGCGATCCTTCTGCCTCAGCCTCCCAGAGTGCTAGGATTACAGGTGTGAGGCACCGCACCCAGCCTCACATTACTTTAAAGCAGTGTGAATAGAGCTGACATGCTTCCATTATGCTGAGGCAAACATCTAGGTTGTGGAATATTTTTCTTGTTGCTAAATTTCTTATTCTCAGGATTCTCCTTGATCTTTTACAAATTGAAAATTTTTTACATAAAGCCAATGATGAAATATACTTCTCCTCACTTTGTCTCCATTTCCTACAGAACAAAGTAAGGAAGGTGTATCTAAAAACTGATCCTCTACTGTACACCCATTAGAATAGTTGTGGAGCTATTAGAATAAATATGGAACATTTGGAGTTCTCACACTGCCCCAGGGGTGTAAATGGTCTGGCTGCTTTAGGAAATAGTTTTTTTCAAAACTTAGACATAGACTTACTATATGACTTACTCTAGGACCCAGGCATTCTATGCCTGTGTGTTTACTCAAGGAAAATGAAAGCATATGTTCACACAAAGCCTCACACATGAATGTTTATAGAAACTTCATTCATAAAGGCCAAAATGGAAATAACTCCAAATGCTTATTGAAAGGTGAATGGGTGAGCAAACTGGTACATTCGTACAATGGAATACTACTCAGCAATAAAGAGGAGGGAACTATTGACACACACAACAACTTGGATGAATCTCAAAAAATGTTATGTTGAGCAGAAGCCAAATACAAAAGGAACAAAAGGGAGCCTCTTGGGGTGATGGAAATGCCTGTACCATGACTGGTGGTTACAAGGATGTATACACATTTGTCAAAATTCACTGAGCTGGACTCTTAAAATAGATGGATTTATTGTGTATAAATCATACTTAGTGAAGTTGGAGAAACACATTAAAGAAAAAGCAATAATTTGCTTTAGCGGAGACAAGGTCACATCAGCTATGTTTTATGTTTTGATATTCAATATTCAGAGATGTTCAATATTCACTATTCAGAGAATGTTTCAATTGTGAACACTCATCATCATCACTTGTTTTTGTTTTGATAGAATGAAATGATAAGGCGCTCTCTTGTTTCTCTTGTTTGCCGTGTGAATGGTACAGAAGCCAGTTAACTGGCTGATTGCGTTCTGTGAGGACAATTTAATTCAGTGTCACCATATTGGCACCAGATGGCAGGGAGTGTAAGCGAGACCGTGGAAGTCTCCATGTTCACTTCTTCCTGGCATCTCACACGTATTTTCACAGCAATCGTAATTATTTGCAAGAAATGCCGTTGAATGCCAAATTCTGAGCAAACAAGGTTTTGTTCCTTAGCTTTCTTCAGTGTTAATAGTTTAAATCCTGCACAGACACCACAGAAGAGGGACTCATGGAGTGTGTTAGGAATAATGAACCCTGACTAGGAGTAAATGTGGTAATAAACAGCCCTCGAGAAGAATCTGCCCAACATTCGCGCAGTGAGGGGCGTCATTAATTGTCTCACATTCTCACAGTCAAATCTCATTACTGGTTATGGATACCACTTTTAGTTGCACATATGCTGTAAAGATACGCATTTTTGAAAATCCAGGCGAAACCTGTTTGTGATAGCTGCTGAGTAAGTGATGGCAACTAGGCGTTTGATTTTGCTGATTTGCCTTCATCTAGAAGGTCCTCTTCCTCCTCTGTTCTCTACCCTGCTGTCAAGACTCCCCGTAGAATACATTTCCTCTGTCACATGAAGCCTCTCTTGATCTTTATGATATCTTTTCTCTAAATTCATATGACCCCTAAAGTTATTACTATTCTTTTATCAAGTAGCTATATTTTCTGACCGTTCTTAAGCTAAATTGTTTTGGATTTATAAAATAATTTAATATCTTACATGTTTATTTTTATTAATACAACATAGTTTATTTTTTTAATAAACATTTTTCTTTAGGGGCAAAAGCCATGCCAAAAACTTTTAAATCTTTCCTATAATGCATAATAGGAAATATTTATATATAAAATATATAATATAAATTATATGTATAATATAAATTACATAAATTATATGTAATATAAATTATATATATGATATGCATCTATAAATAGATGAAGCATGTTTGGTATGCTTGAGATATACTTGACAATATGTATATTTGAAGTATTTTTATTCTCTATTGTCACCAAGACTGTAACCACGTAATTGTTTGTTACAGAATTTTGACTTCTCCTCTTCCATTTAATTTCATTTGGTGTTTAAAACTTCCCTGTATTGTTCAAGGCTGAAATCCTTTAAAGTGTTTCATTTTTTTTAAAAACTCTCAAAGTTAAAAAATCTGCCATGCATTTAAGATTATGCATTATAAATGATATAAAAATAATGCACCTTTATGTGATAAGAAAAAGTATCTAATTTTCTAATATTTAGTCATTTAAAATTTTTAAATCGGTTTGTAGATATCAACGAGTGCTTGGAGGACAACAGTGTTTGCCAGAGAGGAGACTGCATTAATACTGAAGGCTCGTATGATTGTACCTGTCCAGATGGGTTCCAGCTAAATGACAATAAAAGATGTCAAGGTACTTGACTCTTTTTTTTTTAGACATTTTACATAATTCTTCAATTTTGCAATGCTTTCCAATGATAGTATGTAGTTTTCCCACTTGCTTTATATATAAATAATCTATGCCAATGTGCATTATTAAAATATCTTTCTTGGGTCTGCATCAAGTGCGGGAAGGTATTGCTTTGTCACCGTGTCAGTGGAACTCATATGTGTCAGAGCTGTGTCTTTGCTGTGCATGGTTCTGTGCAGAGATCACCTGTACCTTGCTCTTCCTTCCATTCACCAGCCTTGGTACTGGATTCTAAATGATCTTTCCAGCCTTTTTATGTCCTTCGTGGGCATATTTTATTTTGTCCCACAATTGATATTTATCTGTCCTTTTCCCTATCCCTGTTTTTATCCAGTACCCACCATTGCTTTTTTTCCTTCCTAAAAAACCTCACTAATAATTTGGTCAAAATCATGAAGGATGAGGTTTTATATTTTTTTCAAAGTACTCTCACATTTAGTCTCCCAAACAGTACAGTGGACACAGATACTAGTAAGAACACAGTCACACAACACAGGTACTAGTAAGAACAATCTCAACTACAGCTTTAATTGAGCTTCTTCAATGTGCTGAGTACTGTAGGTATCTCTCAATTCTTACAGCAACTTAAGAGCTACTTTTTCTTACATTCACTTTGCGCATGAGTAACTGAGGCTCCAAAAAGTTAACTAACGTGCTCCTCTCTCATGAGTGGTAGAGTTGACATTCGAACCCAGGATCTTTTCCAACTATTCTTCCCTACATAGCCACACCAATTATTGTTACATTTATAGTCAAAAGAAAGATGACAGTAAAATTAAGTGATTTTTCTCACAGGATAACGCATTGAGTCATTTTGACACCATGGCTAAAAAATTAGATTGTCTAGATTGTGTGTCCCGACATTTTTAGCTATACCTGACTGCCCCACAAGTTTTCCTAGATGTATTAGTCTTAATAAATCTATGCCTATATTTGCCATTGAAAACTCACACTTATATTTACCTTTACATCTGTTTATTCTGATACTTGGATAAATGTTATTTTTTTCTTACTGTTTCTCTGTCATTATGGAACTGTGTAGTATATCCCAAGGTACAAATAAATAAAAGATTGTTGGGGTTATTCTTTATCCACTGTTATTGAACATGTATGACTTTTTTATTCAGGATTGTCAAAAATCATATCTCCTCATGTGTGTTCTAAATAACAATACTTTTGACGGAGATGACAGTGTCTACTCTCCAAGATATGGCATTGGCGTAGTATTCTCCATATATCTGTGTTAGTATTCACACCCCACTGTGTGTCATAGAGATGTAAAAGACCAGGGACCTTTGCCTCAAGGTTTTTAAAAATTAATTCCATTACTGATCCGAGCATTTAAATATACTGCTATGTACCTCATTTGATATCTTGTATTTATTTGCCATCATAAAGCAGTAAAGCGAATTTCAATATTTCAGTTTTTCTAATGCAGCAATTAAGTGTGCTTGGATTTAGTGTAGTAGAGAAGGAACATTTGAATTATAAATAAATGTGCTTGGATTTAATGCAGTAGAGAAGGAACATTTGAATTATAAATTTATGTTAGAATATTTCCACTTGGGACTTTTACATTTTAACAAAATGAATCTTGATTCATATAAAAATACCAAGAGATGAAAAAAGAAGAAGAAGAAGAAAAAAAAAAACTAAATGTAAATCCTGTTTTTATTACAGGCCTTTTGGCTTAAAAGCAATATTTTCTTTTCTAATTCCTCTTTTGTCATGATTTCTTTTGGCCCAATAGAGGCAAAACCCAAGTTTTAGTATGAATGGACCAAGGTTTCATATTGCAAATTTTATAACTTCTAGAATTAAATCACATGGAACTAATTTAATCATCTGATTCATTAATCGCACTACCATATTCTCTCAATACATAAAATTTGTGTCTGTGGTTTGATATCAGCTCTCAAATATGTAGCTGCTCCAAGCATATGGGGGTTTATTGACTTATCAATCACTATGAAATTGACTTCATTTTCTGTCACACTTATTCCTGTTTTCCAGAATAAATTAATATGTCTATTTGAAAAATGTAAATCCAAATAACTGAAAAGCATTTGTGAAGCAAGTGTTAGAAGTGTTTAAGGAATAGTGTCTATGAATTTGTTTCATCACTTTCCTTCTCCTATTAGAGGCTGTTTGTGATCACACATATACTCACCTCACTTTGAATTCTCTTTTCACTCTGTCACTGAAGGCAGCTTTGTGATCTTTCACCCTGCCAGCAGTTACTAGCCTACTTTTCTCTAATCCCATGATCATGTCAGCGTTTTGTAGATAGGCGTAGATTAATTCTGAAAATGTCATTGATGGCAATGCTAGTTAACCATGGACATGTTTGAGTAACAGTGTGTCATAGGCATAACCTTTAAACCTTACCTAATATTCTGATGATACTTTCATACACAGTAAGCCATTTTCAATTGGAAATGTGTGTAGGATTCTCTTTCCCCTACAAAACTAATGATAATATACAAACAATATGGAACTTCCACGTTAATAGTCTATTTAGGAACGTGGCAGGATACATTTGAGATTCAAAACACAGTTCAGTTTCACGTTTTGAGTTACACATGCCAAATTGTGAATTTCTGTGGCATCTCGGACCCATGAAAGAAACCCAATTTAAATATAGTCTGGCTTTCAGCTCAGAGTTACTAGCAGCATAGTTTAGAAATGCCTCAATAAGTACAGTCCAAATTGAATGCATATGTTTCTTTAGTTCCAGATATTCATGTTGTTCTTTCTTAGCAGTTTCCTGGAAAAAAGTCTGAGAATTCATCTTCAGTTCCTGTCATCAAACTTTTTAGACAATTTTTTGTTAATCAGTGGCTTGCTTTGATGCAAGAAGATTATGCACATTATTCTCTATGCAAAGTTGCAAAGTGGGTAGCTTTTAAGGGACCACATTGAAACATAAGATAAAATAAGGAGGAGGTCTTGGATAGCTGCTGCGGCTTCACAAGATGCATGTGGATTTTGGGCTTGAGCCCCAGGCCACTGGAACTTTATGGCACCTTCTTGCTCGGATATCAGTAATTTTATAAAAGAAGTAAAGAATTTCACAGAATGAAATCATGCTGAGAAATAGACAAGTAGAAAATGATTCATTGATCTTCCTTGAAATAGCTGAAAATTAGTAACAATCATAAGAATGGGAGGATTATTAAGAAAATATGAGTAATTCCTGCCTGGTTTCTTATTTTGGTTTAGCAATGAATAGGCCAAATAGTCTGAATTATGTGGCAGATGGAAGGGTAAAGAGTTCAGGATTACTAAAGAGAGAAGGATAAATCAATAACTGCCAAAATTTCCATTGCACAATGAAGTCAAGTCAAAAAGAGCCCCAGGAGATTGTGGTTGTTGGGAAAGTGGTGACTTTATTGAAGACCACCATGGCTTAGCATGTTCTAGAGGTCACAAGGAAGAGCTCATAATCTGTATCTGTCCCCTGTCCCTGTTAAGCTTTGTAGTGTTTGTGTAGGTTCCTGTACTGAGGAACTCTTCAGTAAGAGCTAAAGGAGAGGCTCGGAGACCTCAGGAAGATGGGAAAATGACCTTGGTGGGGCTACTGCCTGCATGGTGCTACAGACATGTGATCACTTTTATGACCCTAATTAACCAAGACAACTTTAACCAACCACTGATAAGTTAGTGGAGAATGAACATAACTGAGAAGTTTTGTGATGGACAGATATTCCTAGGACACCATCAACTAGGAGTTAGGAACTCAGGTAAAATAGGAAGTTCTTCTCAAGGAGCAATCAGTGTAATGAGGGACAGATGAGTGAACCAACAATTAGGCAGCTGGGTGTATCAGTACCATTATGAATAGGTGAACCATTCTCCAGGTTTCTTATGTTGTCATCTTGGGCAGTGTTAGCCAACATAATTAGAACTGGTGTGAATGACTATTTCATTTACACTAAATACTCCATACATTGTCAGTGTTCAGGAGTGTCTCGTGACCCTGGCCACAGGGAGCATAATTACCCACATCTAGGACAAGCTGAACATAAGGTGGTCAACACAAATTTAACTACGGCACGATCTGGTCATGAGTCTTCATAATAGTAGCTACCACTTTTTGAACCTTAGTTGTATTAGGCTTTGCAATAAGCACTTTATCTTCCTTCACTAATTTCATCATCACAAAGCCATGTAGATATGAACTTCCTTGCTCTAAAAGATCTTTTTTTACTTTTATTTCTCTTAGTCATTTTCAATGAGATATAGACTGGAGTGTATTTCATTTATATATTCAGACATTTGTGAAGTGCCATTTCTGAGCCAAATATAAATAAATAAGACATGTCCAGCTTTGCCCTTAAGCAGCCCACATCCTAGGGATGGACAGGCAGGGACGTAGCACGGTACTACTGGCTGTAACAGGTTGTGTGCATGGTGTGGGAGAGGATAAAGGAAGACGTAGCTTTCTCACCAATGAAGAATATTTCTCAGAGTTGTTCATTCAATTAGAGTGTTCCTCAACTCTCCAATATGTCCAAAATAAGGGTAGCTTGGAGTGGAACCCATGAAATCGCTATTTTTGTAGGTCAGAAATGCTTGAACCTTGGCTATTTCATGAGTCAACCTAAATAGTTTTCCTCTCTTGACAGTTCAGCTTGGCTTGTGGTCTGTTATCTGGACAAATGGTACTGTATTGCCACAGCATATATATCCAGGCATTTCGTAATAGATTTTCTTTACTGTATGTCTGATAGCATATGAAAACAAAACAGATTTTTTTCCCAGTATTTGAAACTCTCTTTTAAATTGCAGATATTAATGAATGTGAACAGCCAGGGCTCTGTGGTCCTCATGGGGAGTGTCTAAACACAGATGGTTCTTTTCACTGTGTCTGCGAACAGGGTTTCTCAATCTCTGCAGATGGCCGTACGTGTGAAGGTAAGATAAACCATAAGGACTCGTGTGGTTATTGTGTGATAAAGCAGAGGGGAGATTGCTCTCTATTTAAACAGGCAAAGAGTTTAAGATACCAAGAGGTACTCATAATTCAAGGCTTCAGAGCATATATGCTTCAAGGTGACCTGAAAGCATAGCTCGGGGATTGCTGGGATTTACAAATAGGATGACCTAAGGTTATGATGGCTAAAATTCTCACAGATGCTTCCACTGCTGGTACTGACTTGAGTCAAAATGTGCAGGGACTGATGACTTTAAACCCGAAGGAAAACTGTGGCAACTTCCCTGTTGTAACCCAAGACTCTGCCTGTTTTGATTGTGCTTCATGCAAATCATCTTGATCATCCTGTTTCTAAAAAATAATGTTTCGCTTGATTTCTCTGTATCATTGTGAATAGAGATTTTCTAGAATTATTCCCTGAATATCCTTGTTTCTAAACCAGTAAATTTACCTATCAGTATTTATTATCCCTTAAGAGCTAATTAAGTTGTAAGGCATTAAGATAACATAAGTTGGCTTCCTGTTTGCAACACATATATGTTTGCAGGGATATAGCACTGGTTATTTTGATAAGATTTGTGTTCTTGGTGACTATTATAGTTTGATAAATTGGGGAATAATTTATCTGAACCATTTTAAACATATACTGAGAAGATTCCCCTTAATTATCATTTCAGTTCATCTCTTTGGGAATCTGGGTTATTGAAACCCAGCTATGTTAAAGAAATAAATCACAAAAGTTCTGCTCTGGATCTAAGATAGAATCCAGATTCGTTGCCCTAAAAAAGTAGTGCAACAGGAAGTGTCTGCTCTCCTTGCTAGTACCACAGTGGAACCCAGCCGAGGCCCGGCAACCAGGTTCATCTGAAACTAATTATTATATTGGGAGGAATAAACTGATTTTATAAAAAGCAGGAGATTGTTGAACTTGCTCTCCTGCCGAGCAGACAAACATGGATGCCAGATTCAGCTTCAAGTGGAAGAGAGATAGTGCAGGGAGGGTTTGAGCAAACAGATTGAGGGGTTTGGAAGGGATCAGAAGTTGGAAAATGGAGAAAGGCATCATAATAATGTGAGCGATGAGAGATTTACAAGGAATCCATACTTCAGTGGTTCGAGTTTTCTGTTAATTTTATATTTAGAGCTCTGAGCCTAGAGCTGTTAGAAAAGACACTGTGTGAATGTGTACACTCTTCTGGAGAGATTTCAGTATTCCTCGGCTAGTCCGTCTAAGTCACTGATGAAACAGATCTGCAGAATCCCCGAATTCCAGAAAGATGCAGCTGTGTTTCCTTGGTTAGCTCTCAGTCATGGATGGTAAAGGCTGCCTTCACTGGAAAATGGTCCAAGGTATAACTGCTGATAAAAACATAAGTCAACTCATGTGCTTATTGGTCAAAGCTATTGTTCCAGAAGAATGTACCAAATATATAAATAATATTCATATTTATTTTGTCTTTTGTACTTGCTAATTTTTATTTAATTCTGTGCCTTTTTTAACACTGATTTCTGCAGCTTGAGAGTTAAAATAATCACTGTAATTTAGTTGCAGCTCTAATTTGTTGGTCATTTACTTGACAAAAACTTGAATTTAAAAATGTGATTTTAGAAATCTTCTAGTGCTTTGTAAATTACTGTACTCATTGAGTATACTCTCTTTGACACTTGGTCCATGCTTTCTTACTCCAGAAACTGGACAGTTTTACATGTAAGAAAATAGGCAATTTAGAACATAATGTTGATATATGGGAGTATAAGTAAAAATCTCCCTAATAATTAGGCACGTTGTTCTCTTTCTAGAATAAGTTCTGCAGGGATTTTGTTTTTTAATGGGCTTAATCCAATATGTAAAATTAGTCCAAAATTTCTTTTGTTGGACTTGGTCTGAAACTTATGGCAGTAGCACTATGTTCTGATTCTACCCTTGGCTGTGGTGTAGGACAGAGCCAGCTCATGTGATCAGGATTTAGCAGTGAAGCTGATGTGTTTGGGATTCAGCAATGGAGCTGATGTGCACAGTATTTGAATTCACAGTGAGAAGAGGCTGGCACTCTTACCTCATGCCCATTCACCAGCTCCCTTCTGAACTTCTGTTAAAGTAGCTGAAGCATGGGAACCCTAGACCCACTCTGCTGTAAGCAAGGCTAAATGAACCTCGTAGAGCTAAAGGAAGGAGGGCCCTTCCCCGATTTCCCGTAGCTTGGAGAGTTGTCAGCATCTGCTCGTAGTTATTGAAGCACAGTGAAGAGGCAAAGTCTGTAAACATGAACTATCTTAAGCAGCACAGCAGGTTCTGTAGAAATAAAAGTGGCACCACTGGCTCCCTCCTTTTGCTTACCTATACAGGTTGAGTATCCCTAATCCAAAAATCCAGAATGCCCCCAAATCTGAAACTTTTGGAGTGCCAACATGTGATGCTCAAAGGAAATGCTCATTGGGGCATTTCAGATTTTTAATTTTTGGACTAGGGATACTCAACAGGTGAGTATTATGCAAATATTTCAAAATCTAAAATAAATAAAAATAAAAAACCTCAAATCCAAAGCACTAGTGCCAAGCATTTTGGATAAGAGATATACAACCTGTACGTGCTAGTCTGGGAACAGATACCTGGGAGAGGAAGGAGAAACACCTTGGTTCTCCCACATGAAATAAAGAATAGTATTATTCACAATTCAAATGGAGTGGAAGTAGGTGGTGAGTGAGCAGCTATTTGTCATTTATTCATTCACCTACCAAATGTTTACTGAGTGCCTGTCTGTGCCAGGCACCATTCCGAGGGCAGAATACACACAGTTCTTGTCTACATGGAGCCTGAATTCCAGTACAGGAATTGGGAAGAAGTAAGCAAATAGTACATATAGGATACATTAGTGTTTATATTTAAAAGACATGGCACAAGTACACTTGATGGATGTAAGTGCATGCAGAGTGCAACATGCCATGTATAATGTAATGCAATCACCTGTAATGCACAGGTGATTTCCCCTAATCCTAGACTTGGATGTCAGAAAGTTGCAGAGGAGCAGGACCCTTTGGGTCAACTCCGTCTTCTGTACTGCCCTTTCCTCTCTGTTGTTGTTCATCTCCTGCCACCTTCTATCTTATAGCCAGAGCTTGTATCTTGTATATAAAAACAAAAGAAACTTTTTATTTCTTTCACTCACTCACTGTTTTATATCCCATTTTACTATATTCATTTGTTTCAGAAAAATTCATAATTCTTTTTGTCTTTTACTTTTTCCAGTTTTTTTCATTGTGGAGTTTTAATTCACATGAAAAATATTCATCATTGCATTCATAAGCTGACTCAGGGTTTAATTTTCATCAGCACCAGCAGAATGTGTGTGAGTGGGAGAAAAGTAGGAAAACCTGTGACAGTTGGATTCCTAAGGGTTGTTGCTCAGCCCCTGGTCATGGGGAAATGCCTCCCAGTGTCTGACTTTGCATCATAGATTTCCGCTGCATCAGCCAGGATCAACTGTGCCCTCACAGCCACGTGTCCAGGCCGAGTGAGGACTCGTATAATTACAGGGGAGTTGGGCACATCACACGCCTCTAGGCCTCACTGTGCCCTCCAGCCTGTTCACGTGAGAGAATGGCCATGTTCATCTAGTGGGGAACCCCAGGAGCCCAAATGGCTGGAACACACGGAACACCAGCAGCTTGTGGAGCCTGGGCACCTTTTCCTCCATTGTTTGCCATGTATGGTTAGTTCAAACCACGGCCAGAATCACTCCCTGAAGCCCAGGCTTTCATTCATTCCTTCATTCCTTCATTCGACAAATATTTAAGTGTCTTCCTGTGTGCCAGCCACTGTTTTAAGTACTGGGGCTACAATGTTGGAGAACAAAAAAAAAAAAGATTCCCCAAGCTGGGCACGGTGGCTCACGCCTGTAATCCTAGCACTCTGGGAGGCCGAGGCGGGCAGATTGCTCGAGGCCAGGAGTTCGAAACCAGCCTGAACAAGAGCGAGACCCCGTCTCTACTATAAATAGAAAGAAATTAATTGGCCAACTAATGTATATGTAGGAAAAAAAAATTAGCCGGGCATGGTGGCACATGCCTGTACTCCCAGCTACTCGGGAGGCTGAGGCAGGAGGATTGTTTGAACCCAGGAGTTTGAGGTTGCTGTGAGCTAGGCTGACGCCACGGCACTCACTCTAGCCTGGGCAACAAAGCGAGACTCTGTCTCAAAAAAAAAGATTCCCACTTTCTTGTAGGCAAGAAACTAATAGATAAGTAAACTATGTGAGATGTTAGTGATAAACCCTGTGGAGGGAAAGTAGAGCAGACTAAGGGGAATCCAAGGGCTAGAGCAAGACGAGGGAAGCTGCCATGATATACCTAGGGTGGTCGGAATTGGCCGTTCTGCCTCTGTAAGTGGATTTATGGGAAAAATAGCAAAATTTTGTGTCTGAGTAAAATAATGAAGCCATATTAAGTGCCTCTCATGTTCGAACTGGTATTCTGTTGTCAAAGTGATAAAGGCTTATCAATAAATAGACAGGGGAGCATGAGATGGCTGGCTGAGGGCCCTTTCCCCCCTGCCAGCATGAATTCTATTGTCCAGACGGGGGAATAAACAATCACATGGAGTACAACACCAAGTGTGAACCCTCTTATAAACTGGACTTCGGGTGATAATGACATGTCGATGTAGAAGTTCATCGATCATAACAAATGTTTCCCCCGGTGCAGGATGTTGATAGTGGGGTGTTCTGGGGGTCAGGGTGGGGAGAGCAGGCTCAATGTGGGAACTCTGTGTAATCTGGCTGTGAACCTAAAACAGCTCTTAAAAATAAAGTCTGTTTAAAAAGTCAGACACATTTCTGCCATCACATACTTTTTTACTAAAAAAGAAAAATCAAAAATCCTTCAGTTAAACCCTATATTTCACTCCTATATATTTTTCCCCTGGGTGATGGTAATGGTGGTGATGATGATGTCGCCTCTCACTTTTCAAAATCATACCCCAGAC